TTGTGATGAGGATGTTTGGGTGACAAGCTTGGAGGCGTTTGCAGCGGAACATGTTGTATGAAATGGTTTGGTAGGTCTGAACAACTCATCAGAGACATCTGACCCCAATCATTCAGGTAGTAGTTGCGATGCAACATTGGAGAGATCCGTCCTTGTCCACTCCCAACAACAACAAATAAATCCCCCATCTCTTACTAAATTTTTTTTTTAAAAAAGTTAATGTTTTCAAACTCAGTGATGGTTCTCTGAAGAAAGTTGAAGTCTTGCTTTCAGGTTTCAACGCATGATCTTCAAATTCACCTCTCTTGCTGTCAACTTATGCGGCATGCATGCATCTATAAATTTAATTTAATATGATTAATGCTTCTTCATTCCCAATTTGTAAGTAACTTCAAGTCTTATTTAAAGTTATTTCATCGTCGTCAAAAAGTAAAAGGGACATACGTGTAATTAATTAAAAGCAACAAATAATATGATTTGAATTTGATGAAACTCGCTATCAAGAACAGGAGGAGCATGCCGGCCGGAGTGTGAAGTCACGTGATGAACGGAGTCGTCTTGCGAATTCCCCGTTCGCTTTGCATGCATAAACACGTGTCCTCCAAATAAAATTGTACATTCGTGAATTATGACGTAAAATTGTTCAGCGTTATTATATTAGTAACAAACAAGGACTAGGCAACGACCATCCCTCTTGTATAACCGAGGCCCATTCGCCGCCTTAAAAGTACTCAACTTACTCCTTTAAACTAATAATAATAATAATAATAAATTAAATTAACATTTTTAACCATTTTTGCAAGTGTAATTATAAATAACGTAATTCAACACGTAAATATGAATCTGTTGGGAGCTCTATATTTAATTCTCTTTCTTGGAATCTATGGATAACTCTTACTTAAAAACATATAACTAGTTATAACAACATATTCTCTGTTTTTTTCAAAGAACAACATGGTCGTTGTTATAATTTTGTTATTTCCTTTTAAAACGGAGTGCTTTCTGTTCCTTTTCTTATATGAAAACTCGCACAGAATCACGTAGTGTCCAATTATCTGGGGTTGTGGAGTTGTTTTTTTTTTTTTTTTTGGTTGCCCACCCAGTTCACCGGAGCTTTCTGCATACGCTGAGGCTCGAACTCGAAACCTCATTTAAGCGGTACCAAGCCGCTTACTACTTGGACCAACCCCTGTTGGTGTTGTGGAGTTGTTTCCAAGGCATACAAGATGTCCACTTTCTTGATTGGGCCTAGCCTACTAACCTTCAGAGCTCAAGAAATGGTCCTTCCAATATTTTGTCTAATTGGGATTGGTTGTGGGCCTAACATACGGAAACACTGGGCCGCAGCTGATACTGGGCTTCCAAAGATTGTGCTGGAATATTTGTAAACAGAAATGAGTTATTACCGTCAACGTTTGTGAATGAATCAACTCATTGGAGTTTTCTTTTTTCAAATATTAATGCAATTCCTGGTATTTGATTTAGCCATGTTTGTTTTATTTATTGATCTTTATTTTGTGGCAATAATATTTATTGATTTTTTTTACCAGCAGATAATATTTATTGATTTATCATTTATATGATGTACGATGAGCTGTGATTATTATTGGATAGGCATTGAGCACAGGGCATGTGCGTTGAGGGTGGACTGCTGAATGGGAAGAAGTGACCAGACTTTCATGAACGGGGGGTCCTCTTTTTTTTTTTTTTTTTTAAATTTTTATGCTTATTATTACTATTATTTATATTACAAATGGTGATTTTTTTTTTTTTGGGCAAGCCTAAAAGTGGTGATGTGCGCATGAACCTACTAAAATGGACACGGCTTCTATATGTGCGGCACTAATCACTATATTTGGCTATTATGAATGTCCCGTACAAGTATCTTTTTTTTTTTTTTTTAATTCGTTCAAAGAATCAAAATAACTAGGTAAAATGTTCCCTACATTCTATTTTTATTCCTTTTTTCTATTGAAATACTTTCCGCTAATTTAAGCACATAGGTTTTAAGTTGTGCGACTCATCATTCCGGGTACTAGGCGACCTTTTTTCGGGGGCAAAGAAAAAAAACAAACACTTCACACATCTTTTTCGTCCCATGGTATTTCTTTTATAGTTTTTAATATTCATTTACATATTTTAATAGAAGATAGATGTTAACAACAGGATGATATTTGATTTTTTTGGCATCACACGGAAAAAAAATCTAAATAAAAGTTAAAGTGAGGCATCAAAAGAAATGAAAAAACTTGTGGGTTAGAACCAAAATGGAAATCAAACCAAAACCCAACGCGCCCTTCTTGTTAGGTTAAAGCAGAAGAATGGCACTATTGATGATTTATAATGAGCTTAAAACAAAATTTGGCGATATATATATGTACACACCTTGGAACGAGGATATGATGGAAAATGGATGTTGAGTAAGAATTCCAATTTGGACCTGGGACGTGATTGTGAGATATTTTATTATTATTATAAATTATTTAGGTACTTAATTAGGAATTAATAAAATGTCCTGAGTATGACCCGTGATCAGATAAGGCCCAAGCCCAGTAGAATTATTATTTTCAGTTAATATTGTATTTACTTTAATGGTGAGAATTACATTTTAGGTTTTGACGGCTGAAAATTTCAGAGCGATATATTGAGTGAGAGAAAAACCCTATCTGCTTCTTGAGGTTCCCTAACTGGTGACGGCTGATCCCAGTTGTCATCACTGTGCCTTTCTACTAGTCAGAAGAGACCTGAATAATGAATAATTATTTTCTTCTAACCCCAAATCTATTTTGCAGTTCTCATCTTCTATCTTAAATCCCAGAGTTAAGCAATAGTTATGGCAAGAGGTAACTCTAAATCTAAAGTCTTTCCCTGTATTATGATAAGATGATTCATTTTATATTATCTGGATTGTATACATTTTATATATTATTTTGAATCTGTCTTGCAATGATAACATAGCATGAATCATTCTTAAATTTTGTTACTGGCCAAGAAACATGAATCATCCAATGGACATGAGATCCTGAGACTGACTTTTGCCATCGCCCTAGACGTTGGCAGCGAATTCTTCCATCTGACTCAGAAGTCTAAGCCCATTGTACCCAAAAAAAGAAAAGTCTAAACCCAACGAATCTTGTTGCCTTTTTCAAATTTGTTGGTTTTGGAACGTTGTGTGTGAAGTTGTGCCTGGGAGGCATCACCGCGCGTCGTGAGATGTCAGCGTTTAAATTAACCGTACGATCATGTCAGAAACTGGAAGGTGCAGCAGCATCTGGTTCCATAATAAACCATACAATAAAATATGCGGACAATCTATATGGCTATGCATGACATATGACAAGCAAAAGGTCTAACCAACCGTGATATCAAATTATGAATGGTATGTTATATTTTTTGAAGTAAATGAGTCATATGAATGTTCATAAATATGAAGATCATGGGGTGGGATGCGATATAGAGAACAAAAATAAAAGAAAATACTCTTTCCATCCTAATTATACGACATAATTAGTAAATTGATATTAATTTTATATGTAAGATCTATTTCAAGTCTATCAATTTTTTTTAAAAATAATCCCATTGATATTCTTTCAACAATAATTAAATAGGAAAAGAAAGGAAGAAATTAAGAAAGATGCTTAAAGTGTTTTTTTTTAAAAAATACATATCATATTAACTAATTTAGCTCATATTCAAATTAGTTAATTAGATGAGGATATTGGGGGGGGTGTTTCTGTAAAAGCGGCGGCGGATTGCAAATCGCTGTCATAAAAACGGCTGCTAACCAATTTAATTCCAGACAACGCCTTCCCTTGTTGTTGGGCTCATCGCTTTTATCGACAAACCGATCCGCAGCAGATTCACAACACATGCCCAGGCCCTCCCCTCCCTTGTTCGATTAATCACTAATCACTAATTAATTAACTAATAATGAATACGTGACGTGTGCGTATATTGTTCTAATTTAATCACACCTTACTGATTCAGCAGTCGGAAAACAATGTGCCACCCTCAGGGCGCCCTGTTTTTTTGCTTTAGTTACCGCTTTTGCACGGAATCGTGACCACCTTCATATTTTTCCCAAGAAGGAAGGCAGGGCGTAATTTAGCTCGTGATCATCAAACAGGATGCTGTTGAACGAAATTACTGCTTTTATTCCTAACCGATAAGCAGACACATGGTGATTCAGTGGGAGCTTTGACATTATGCCCCTCGACGAAGATGAATATCCCGGTCAAGTCCCGGCGAAGGAACAAGGGAGAAGGGAGGAAGATTCTCTTACCGATGGCGCAGCCAGCCCCAACACTACGAAACTCCTATCTTCAGAACGGGCTTCTTTCTGGGGCACACCGTTTTAAGGACTTTACCGTTAGCTGCCATCCACGTCACCAATAAATAAATTTTATACCGGAGTTTTTCGTTGTTGAATTGGATAGTAATAATTAATTTTAAAATTTTAAAATAGAAATAAAAATGTAGAAAAACTGAGGATCAGATAAAGCGAGGGAGTACAACATAACAGTACATACAGGGTGCGCACATTAGAGAAGGAGGTGGGGCTGTGAGAAACAACGGAAACAGAGAGGGTGGGGAAGCGGAGCAACCCAAATTCCAAACTGCTTTGAATGGAAGGGTAGCTTCGCGCTTCACACGGAAATACGAACACCATTGAATAAATTTGAAGGCTCCAAAATAAGAGAAGACGCCAAGTATTTTACACGGAAAGGAATAAAGAGAGGGATGGAACTGGGAACTTGGAAGCGTTCGTGAGCGTAAAGCAAGGTTGCAGTAAGGCTTGGGTTTCCCGAAGCAGACACTTCCCAGCACCACACGTCACACGCACATCACCAAACACAACAAAACCCCACCTTCTCTCTCCCTTCATCACTTCCACGCTTTTCAACAAATATCTATCTTTGTCCACTCCTTCCCCGCTTCACTCCCCCCATCTCCTTTTCGACTTCTCAAATTAAAAATTTGAAACAATTTTTTTTTTTTAAAAAAAAGCCATCGGAATATCAAATCTGCCTAATCCGTTACAAATGCTTAATTGCCTGACGCCACGGCGAGGGGGAAAAAAATTTAAACTAATTCTCGTTCATTTTTACCTACTCCTGCTACTATTTTTTTGTCCTCCTAAATTTCTAACACTAATTAAAATTGAATTAAAATTAAAATATTTATCCAAAACTCGGAACCGCCGGAGTCGTGGCCGGACCCAGACCGGACTCGCCTCCGCCCATTCCCTCCTTCTTCCGCCGCATCTCCAGCACTTTCCGGTGGTGGTTCGAGTGCAGTTCGCTCGAGAACGTCGGGCTGCATGCTGGCCTGTATTCCGGTAAAAGCCGTCCCGACTTGTATCGGACCCCGCACGCATTGCACAGTGTTTTGGCTCCCAGCGGGCCGGCTCGCCACTGCGGCGTCCTGTGGACCCCGCAGTGGGTGCACCGCCGTGCCGTCTGCGCTGTTCCGCCGGTCCCTGCAGCAGCCTCTGGGGCCGGCTTTTTCAACGGTCTCTTCGAAGGCGGCTTGGCCTCAAAGCAAACTTGCTCGGGCGCTGCGCTGGCGGAAATTAACCAGGGGCTCGTGGGGGACGAGGAGGAGGAAGATGATGTGGAGCTTGAGGATGATTCGGTTAATGATGGAGACCTGAAAGGCCAGACCCGAACGCCGGTTCGCGTTCTCTTGCTTCTGGCCTTAGCCGGGACCGGAGTTTTAAAACAGGGATGAGTCGAAAGACGGCTGTCCGGCTCGGGCCTCGGCTCGGCATGGCTCTTGGCTTTTCCCATTAGAGTACCGGCGGGATACGCGGCGGAACCTACCGAGAAGGAATCTTCGACAAAGTGAGACAACCACTCTAAGTTTGCCAAATCATCGGCCTACAAAAACGCGAACTTTCGTCAATTACGATGAGAAACAGCGAAGACGAGTTCACGGGTAGGAAAAATGAAGGGCAAAGTACCGGAACGCTGAGTTCACCAGACGGCAAGGAGTCAACATCGTCTTTGACAGAAGAAGGGAAGGTAAAGTGAGAAATTTCACGACTTGGGTCCAACGGTGGAGGGGAAACAGAGGCAGAGTCAGGCTTCTGATGTTGTTCATCTTCGAATGGCTCTTCCAAGTGTGAAAAGTCGAGCAGTTCATCTATGGAGAAGTCGTCGGAAGGGGCGGCATTTGGGACACAGGAGGCGGAGGAGTCATCTACAGGAGACAGGGGGTCAAGTTTGACGGCCGCGCCTCTGGGAAAACTGGTCTTCAACGCCGCTTCTACGCACTCCATTTGGGTTTCGGCCTAGAAAGAACCAACCACAAAAAGGGCACATTTTTAGGAAAAACACGAGTCTGTTATATTTAATATTTCAATTTGGAAAACCATAAGAGATAGAGAGTACCTGAGGGAGAGAGAGACGGTAAAGAGGAGAGGGAGTTGGGAGGTGAGAAATGGAAGGAGGAAAGGGGAGGAAGTGAAGGAGAAGATGATGGTGAGTTTGGTAAAGCATTGAATGAGGGCTGAAAGCGTCCATGCTCCAATTACTACAAAGTGCCCGTTTCTTTCTCTTTCGCTTTTTCATTTTTACTTTTCCCCCTTCCCTCTCTCTTCCCCCCATCTATAACGTGTATTTAACCATGTATTTATTGTTTTTATACGATCCAATACGTTTTTATATGGAACGGATACGCTTCATTACAAAAACCAACCATGCCTGATACTCTGATCATATATATTCATGGGCATGGTCCACCACTCTTTTCCTCCACAACACACCGTTATATCCTTTTAAGGCACTTTTTGCCGCAAAATAGGAAGGGCAGGTTATCCATTTCATTTCGTCAATTCCTAAGATAAATAAAATAAAACGCAGATAATATATTAACAACATAAAATACGTACCGAAAGAAGAATAAGTTACAAGACGTGGGTTCCTTCTTTTGTATAAGAAGAGAACAAAAATGGTGACCGCCTAGGAATGGCTCTTTTGACTAAATTCCCTCGTTTGCCTAACCGCTATGAACGCCGCTCGTTTTGCTTGCTAGTTTTGTTCGCGTCCCTGTATTCCCAAAACCAATATTTATAAACTGTGAAATCTATAAAATATTATATTTACAATGCAGCAAAACAGGATTCACACTTTAGTTAAACAGATACTATTATAAACCCAAAACCTTTCTTGATTTCAAAGATTTCCTTAACTACTTGTTGCGTGGATATGAGCATTTCCCAAATTCTTTGATGCATTTGTGAGGCGTGTGTTTTGGATGTCCGAAACAAACAGCCAAATACACGTTCGAACCAAGAATAGTGGTTTTGTTTGTTATCAACGACTCAAATCACTTATAAACACGTTTTACGTAAGCTGAAATACAACTTCTTTTATATATTTATCTCGTATTCAGTAAATGATGATCGAAAAACTATTTATAAACTATTCTAAACGAGCCCAGTGTTCTCCCATCATATTTCCATACCAAATCCATCAACTCCCACCCGTCAACTTTTATTTTATTAGGAACAAAATTAATTAACAAAAATACTAATATGATGGAAAACTTAACATAAATAACACCGCATATCTTTTAAAAATTTTCAACTACTTATAGTAATTCTACGGTGCGCCTATTTTTTAAATTAAAAAGAGGGTAAATTGAAATTATAACAATTATCATGTTGCCAGGAGTATGAAGTATCTTTAGACCAATTTGTCCTGTACGTTTTTTTGTGGCCTGTAAAGGGAATTTTGTCCCGTATTTTAAAATCGATATATATTTTTAAGATGGTGGTGGAAAGGCGCATCATCATGTTTATTTTTCTTCTTTTAAAAAAAGGCATAGAGCTGATAGAATAACTTGAATATTTTGAGGCGGGAGAGTGATTGTAATTGATGATTAGCAAGTGATCATTACTAATTGATACGTGGGAAGAAAAGAAGAGACGAGGAGGGAGGGGGGAAGGGACAAAATTAATGAGAGGTGGACTGTCCAAACGGCAACTCCAATGCCCAATTAATTAACTAATTACAATAATCAAATACTAATTACTATTACTACGGCTACATGGCATATTACACGATGCCTCCATCCCATCCTATTTGTATTTGTAATTCTTAAACCAAGAAACAAAGAGATCGCTGAAACAATCGAGAAATGAGAAGCCAAAAAGGGGAAAGAGGGAAAGAAATTATGGGGATAATGATGAGGGATAGATGCAATCCAGTTGAGGACAGGGCATGCCTTGCAAGCAAAGCGAACATTGAAAAGCAAAGTTTCCGTTAATTAAAACAATATATAATCTTCTTCACTCACTGCTTATATTGAGGTGTAAATTAACCCCACATTTCTTCCTCACCAGCCTTTTTGTCCATTCAAAGCAACGGATAAGGAGTAGCATTCAGCAGTTCTACAGCCTAGCTAGGTCTCACTGCTCATCTCGATCTTATATTTTGCTGCCCTTGAAGGGGGGAGAGGGAGAGAGAGAGAGGGGGCGGTGAATTTGATAACGAGGTGGGCCTGATGCGTAACTAAGCATTTCAATGAATGAAGAAGCTTGTTGGGATGGAGAGGATATAGTAAGCAAAAAGAGAGTATCAAGAGAGATGGCATGAAAATGCAAAGGGACGAATGATTAAAAGGGCTTCGTCTACTGGAAAGGCACAAGATTCTGGATATGGTGGTCGCAATTTCAGCACAAAATTAAACGAAGACAGGGTGCAATAATTAAGTGCGGTGAGCTTTGTAAATGTGAGTACTACCCAGCAGGAGAGCAGCACTCATGAATTTAATTTATTCATGTATTGTGCATTGGACGCCCTTCACTGTTGCTTTATGACAAGGCTGCTGTTCCGCTTTCCTCCTCCAACCAAACCACTAACCTAAGGAAATGCAAGAAATCATCAATGACGAGGTCGAAGAAACTAACAAGGCACCCATTAATTCCCGAGTTCACCCACAGCTATGCAGAAGCGGGTTTGGTGGCTCCCATAAATTCACACCAACCGCCACTTCCTGCTGCTGCTAACCTTCATGGGCACCTCATTTTATGGTTTGTTCTTTTCCTTTTTTTTTTTTTTTCCCGGTTGTGAGACCCGTCCATTATCGGAAGTTTATAGCTGTAAAGCATAATATATAGATGGATGTTAGCTTCATCTCACTTTCAAATTCGAAAGCCCAACGAACACGGTTTTCCTCAAATACAAAGCAACCCCATCACCGAATTTGTTTGGTGATCTTTCATGATTTGGGTGTCGCCCGCATGCCCAGTTACTTTCTCATATTTCTGAATTGTAACATTACAAGCGCAATATACTAAGCCAGATATCTTTCCAGAATAATAGATAAAAATATCACAAATGGGGCCATTGCAACGCCCATCAAATGAGCAGTTTACCGCATTCCGAATTCAAACGCGTCACTAAGTTCCCCACAATATGCACACGCACACATTGAACCGCTCCTCTATTGTCGCAACTCCCTACCTCTTTCGAGGAACACGTGGATTCAATCCAACTCACCCATCCTCTGTAGTAAACGAGACATATTGCTAGTTGTCGAAAGAGAAAATAATGCAGTTATATAAAACAACGCACCTAGTGGTCTAGTGGTAGAATAGTACCCTGCCACGGTACAGACCCGGGTTCGATTCCCGGCTGGTGCATCGCTCTGCTTTTTTAATGCTTTTGAATCTTTTAATGGAAGCCAGAACGGCAACACGCCAATACCCCAAAGGAAGTGATACGAAACAAGTCAAACTCCCGCATGGGGATAGCAATCCCTCTGGCGGGTTATGAAAAGCTGTTCAGAATATATCCTACATGTGCCCAGCAAGGGAAGGGGGCAACGCTTCTACTGCTAAATTCAACTCCCTAAAGTGTATTGCTATTCACAGTATTCAGAATTAATCAGTGGCGAACAACCACAATATCCGGATGGCATCAATCATTGTGTGCGTGTCGGAGCCTTCATCAGTTTGGTAACCTACCCGCCACTGACTCATCCCATATCGCTCAAACTAAGACACGGAAGAGAAACATATCCATCCAGTGATTGAAGAAAAATACAAGCCGCAGAAAATCGAGCTTCGACTTCCTCCTTCCTGTATATCCTAATAGAAAAAATCATATTTTTTGTTGGCCACTGTACTATTCATTCAATTATTTAAAATTAAAATTCTTTAAAGCAGTTTCCCCAGCTACTAGAATATTAGCTTTTTTCAAGTGAATTTATACGTTGTATGTAGATGTCTGGGTAAAGGTTTTCATTTATTCACATATATATTTATATGTTTCTATGTAAAGTCAAACAAAGGCAAAAGACCGTAAAATTATGGAAAGGTAAAAAAAAAACTCGAGATGGAATGTTTTACGAGTCAGGCCATAAACCCAAACTTCAAAACATACATCGCGCATCTGCCGAAAGAGCCATACAGATCATCATTGCATAAGTTGGAGCCCTACTGGCTAGTCCTACCTCAGAATTAGGAAAGGGTCAGAAAAACTACCCAAAAAAAGGTAATAACTTCCATTTATTTAGCTATGTAATTTCCCCTATCATTATTCCACACTTTAATTAAGGATGAAGGCCCCATGAAAACTACTTCTATCTTACGAAAAAGACAACAAGGAAAACATGTAAGATAATCTGTGGTCACTCTGCAGCAGGAGGAATACATATCCATGCAGCTGTTATGTCCTCTTTCTCTTTCTATATATACAGAGTTCGGAGATGCAATCGGCAGCTCATTTCAAAAAATAATTATGAAGTGTCGCGTCATCTATCTTTTGGCCGGCACAAGGATGCTACCTGTAATACTTATGAGCGTGCCTTCCCATGCCATTTCTCTTCCTCCTGACCTCCCTCGGGTAACAAACTAAATTTGTTACCGATATCATCGCTTTTCTTATCCACATTGTTCAAAAGCCTCCTCACGGATTTGTCGTAGATCTCAAAGATGAACGACATGTCTCTGATCTGCATGAGTCATTTGCCACATATTATTATTCTCTTCAAGGGACAAAAGTAATTAATCATAGAAGTCCATTAAAAATGGAAAGGAATGGCCTTTACCTCAATCAGACTACCAGAAACAAGACCCCACACCTGCCCAGTGAAAATTTCCTTGCCATTCACGAAGATCGAACTCTTGCCAAGATTTTTTATAATAAAAGAACCATTTGCTTCCATCCTTATTAGAGCCTAGCAATAAATATGAAGTAATTCTTGCTATTACGAATTCAGTGGGGAAGATTTAAAAACAATCAATATATCTATAGAAGTTATAGGAAGCCGCACTGTTCAAAAGTCATGAACAGTAAAAACTCATTCTGAGTTCTGTGCAAATGCATGGGACCTACTCTAGCATCTCAAGCATACGAATGAAAAAATAAATTTCCAAGAACAAATATTCTTCTGATCCTTCTCTATTAAGCGCCCATGCAAATGAAATATGATCCAGACTCAGAAAATCATAGAACTAGTTCCAGAAAGATCTGTAAGATCATTATGCTATTCCACATGGGTGAATGCAACCTCTTAAGAAGATGGTCGTCCATAAATTGATAAATTTCTCAAAAAAATTCTGTTTCGGGAAATGACAAGTTCATCTTATGCATCTGGAGTTCAAGCAGTAACACAAGTTACGCTGGAAGAAATCTTACCTGTCGTCTAGATATCTTGTTAGCCCGCCCTTCTCTTCCCAAGTCAATATCAACTTTTACATCTTCTGTTGCTCTGCCGAGTATAACCTGTGATGGTGCCAGATAGGAAAACACAAAAATCAGCATCTTATATTTGAAGTACTAAAGAATGAGCACTAGGAAGACACGCAGCAGTATGCTACCGCAAGTTTAGCCTAATAATGGGTGCCCAGAAAGAGAGAGAGAGACTAATAACGGAAAATCCTTTGTCCAGACTGCAGAATTGCCAGAGACAGTATCAGCTCTGATCATAATTACTTCATGACCAAACAAGGTGGCAATGGCTTGACATGGAAAACCACAAGGGCAAATTTCCAGTAGGTGTGCATGCGTGTGTCTACGAAAAAACACACAAACACACACAACACACAAACATTCCCTAATAGGATCTAACTTATTTAGAAACTTCAAGAAATACAACAACCGAGTGGTACAGGAGGAAAGACGATATAAGGGAAGACTCAATTTCCATATCTAAAATAAGAAGACTCAGTGAATGCACCTCGCTTTTCTTAATATATTGCTTCAGGTTCCGCCCATATAACATAGCAAGTGCACCCCGTGATGCAATGGCTCTATGCACATGGGATTGAGCACATTGTTCCAGTCTCATGATGGTCCTCTTGGAATCTTCAAGTTGATACCTAGAAGCTGGAATGAAAGTGTACATTAGATGACAAAACAGCCATTATTAAATACATAGAGATTAAAAAAAAAAAAAATTCGACGTGGAACTACATTAATAATGTTTTTCTGGGCAAAATATTCTAGTTCTAATATGTATTGTTTCAGAAAGAGAAAAGAGGAGTAAGAAGACCGTCAGAACAACAGTTTAAATTTCAAAACATCAATTGAAAGCCCAAAATATGTGGCGATCCTCAATAGCTAAATCATAAGCACTCCCAAACAAGAGTGCAACTAGAGACTCATGGAATTGCAATTTTAGGCTAATACTTTTAGTACTAAAATATCCAAATCAACTATAGCACTAATAAATGACTCATAAATAACGGTAGTTCTATACATTCAACAAGTATGCGCTGGTGTACAATCCTGTACTCCATTATATCATTCTATCTAGACATGAAACATAACAATTCATCAGAAGTAACCAGCAACTTCACAAGAATAAATTAAAAAATATTCAAGCCAAGCTAACAATTTCCTTCTATTTTTGGCAACAACTAAAAGCCATAACAGAACTGTGATCATCTTATTTTTATCGGGCATCAAATGAATTACCTTCTCTACTTGCACTTGAATCTTGATCAATTGGACATAGATCCATTTCAAGAATCTGAGAAAGCAACATCAATATTATGAAAGATTACCTGATAAACTGGACTATGACGAAACACAATATTCAATGTAACAATTAATACTTACCATCGTCTCAATATCAGAAAAGTAAGGAATGTCATTATCATCGTTGTCATCATCTTCTGCTTCTTCTTCCTGATCTAAACCTAACGGGCTTCTTTCTGTTTTAGGAAAATCATTATGTTTATCTGCTTTTGAATGTGCAGAAAACTTAGCTGATGCTGGAGCATCAATTTCCTGTTCATGACAAGCACCTCCAATGAATCTTTATTGGGAAAAAGAACAACCATAAAATTAGTTCACCAAAAAGTTTGCATCTAGTTATAAAGTATCATGAACTCGAAGTATTTAACCTCTTCTTTCAGATGCCCATCTACAGCAGGCTTCGTGGCCACATGAACTAATCTGCTTTGACTTGGATTGACACTGGCTGTGTGACCCTGTCTCGAAACTGCAGAAAATTGGTTTCTGCCAAGATATTCAGTTTTCATAGCAACACCAACAGGCTGTTGGTTTGGCTTTATGTTGGCCACCAAAGCTGGTCGAACTATCTGTGAATTTGTTGATGGGTGTGAAGGATTGCCTTCTTTCTTCAAGTTTACCTCTGGTTCCATATTTGGTTGATTACTAGAAGTGGAAACTGGACAACCAGCTTCCTTATAAGTTGTTTGAGTCTTAGAAGGAACTACAAGAGGTAAGCCAAAATCATCATTGGATGGAATTTCAGGGTCCTCCGTGTTCAATACACAATGAGTAAATTCATTGCCTAGGTCAGCACAATGAAGACTTTGCTTTGCAACAGATGATTGCACATCATTACCAGGATTAGAAGTAGGGTGCAGATCACCATGGCAGCAGTCTGATGGGTTGGCAACCTCTAACCCATTAGTAGATGCATCATGAGGAATAGGCTGCGTTTCTTTATTTGACTTGTGAGATTCACGCACATCAGGTGCATCGCTGCTCTGGATTTCACTAGGAGAATTCAACAGAAGCGAGTCAAGGTTGTCATAACAAGACTTATCAGGTGCATCTTTCCCATCTATATCCATAAACAACAGCTCATCATCATTAGTGAAGTTTAAGAGCGAATCAGGAAGGTTTGCCATTTCTTCTTTGGTGGCAACATCTGACACATCACTGACATGTTTGCCTTTCAACTGACTGGGAAGTACAGGCTGCTCCACCACACGTTGATCTTTATTTTCTAGGCTCACGTGGACCGGCATAGTAGGTGCTGTGATATCCTCCATTGTTTTCCAAAGTGGCTCAGGCAGTGAATGAGAGGAACCTACTTCCTCTAGCCCTGAGCAATTCCTATAATCAACTAAATTATCCACAAGTAAGTTATTCATATCCTTCTTCACATTTTCCTGTAGCAAAGAAGCTCCATTGTCTTTTTTTGCTGTTACAGTACCTGGTTCCTGAAATCCGATATCCTTTTCAACCTTATCGCCCTTCCTACAGTACCCTGCAAGAGAGTCATACATCATCATATCCTTTTCAGAGATGCCTTCATCTCCAGCGTTCTCAACAACATTCATTTCATCACGCAAAGCCTTATCAAAAGAGTCAATCATCTCCATGCAAAGTCTTTTGCGAATGGCATAATACTGCCTGCGAATGCTTTGAGCTTTTCTTTTGGCGGAACTATCAGGCAAGCTTTCTTTAGTTCCATTCCCGTTGGATTTGGAAGGCATAGTCGGAGGAGGATGCTCTAAATTAACCATAGAAGCAGAAGCGTTAGCTGAAATATCAGGATCATAAAGTAGAGACTGCCATCGATCCCGCAATTCCCTGAGCGTATATTTCCGGGAGAATTGAACCGCTCCTTTGGCAAGTGATTCCAAAGAAGCACCCGCCTATACATCACAAATAAACAAAATGCATCAATCGAAGGAGAACTGAAGCAACTAGCAAGATTAACGGGCCCTTTCAACCGTTCCAGACTCCATAAAATTCATGACGAGGAGTGAATTCCACTAAATTGACAACTCATACGCAACTGCAATTGCAGAAACGAAGTACAAAGCCACAGGGAGAGACTAGGGTTTTTAATTTCATGCCTCAAATGGAACAAAGTGATTTCGAGAAAGAAAAAGGAGTACCTCGACAGCGTTCTTCAAGCGCAGGTCATCTTCCGGAACCCATGGAGCTGCCGAAACAATGTCGAACATGAGCTCCATGAATCTGCGAATTATAATTCAATTTTTTTTTGGGTTTTTCTGGGGGGGGGGGGGTTAATCGATCGGCGTTCTCGATTCTAATTGCAGGGGTTTGCTATGAAGAAGTTGGAGGACCAACTACTTCACTTCAATTCATTTTAATTCATGGTCGACGGAAACAAGGAAATCAAGCATAATTAACAAGAGTGCGAAATGCAAATTGTAACAAGCGCGGGTCGTGCTTCTCAATTTCGGAATTCCTGAGCATCCTCTGGCACCATTTAACACTCATGACTCCCTTTCCTTATCGACCAATAGCAGCCATCGTCGTTCACTGGAATTAATAATCCATTTAAAACTGCTACTATTTCAGTATTCAGTTTCTCCTTTTCATGACTCAACCGAATCGTCAATATCTTCTACATATATATATGGGCACACGCCTCTTTCCATAATCAATTATCGTAACCTGCAGGGAATCATTCATTTTTTCTCAAGCTGGTTGGCTTTGTCCGTTTCATTGATCCAATTTGCTCAGAATATAATTTTGTATAATTTTTTAGTTTTTAATATGCTACTATTAATTTATTTTTATTTTTTTTATAATTGTCTCTCCTTTATTACAGTTAATAAAAATAAGATTGTAAGCTTAAAAATAGAAATTAATATTGTCTTTAGCTTTTAAAATATTTTTCTTAGAAGAAACAATTAAAAAATATAAAGAGAGTATAAATATATATGACAATAAACTAAGGAACAATGCTTATCAGGTCAACGTTATAATTTGAGGTAGGGACAAAGGAAAAAACATATAATATGGTCGTAACCCTCTGGTAATTTGAATTTATGACCTAATTAATATGTTTATACCACTCTACTCCTTGATATAACTTACTTTTGTAACATAATTTTGTATACTAAAGAATATATTGGATTAACAAAATTTTTTTAATTTTACTCTTATTAAAATTCTCTGTCTCTCTTCATTTTAAAAATATTCTCATATTTTTTTTCATTTTTTTAATAATGGGTAAAATTAGAAAATAGATATTACCTCTATTATAAGTGATTTAGCCAAAACTTTTCCTAAGGTTGCTTTTTATGTCATTTAAAATTTTTGAGGGGTGTTTGGATTCTTGAAGAAGTGCTTTTTAAAAGCACTTTTTCATAAATCTAAATAAATTTTTTTTATATATTTACTTTATATATTATAAAATTATTTTTAAAATTATGGTTTTAATGAATTAACGTTGCATTCTGTTTTTCTTGAAGCACCAAAGCGTCCTCGTCCCGGCTCCTCTAAGCAACTTGCCAAGAGGAGCATGTGAAGTGCATTAAAGTATATAGAAAATTGGGCGTATATGGTAAATAATATTAATTACGCGGGCAAGTGATAAGAAAATGTTCAAAATGAGAGCATCAACAAGTCCAAAAACAAAATTGAGAGCTTTAACAATATTTTAATACCTTTTCTGATATTATATATAAGTCGCAACAAATTAAATCATGCATATCAAAATACTAGTTAAAAGTAATACATGTATAAGAAACGTACTCATTTTTAATGAGAGATTAGATAAATTAACATATATGTTTGATCACATATATAACAAAATAATGTATTCCTCCATTGTGCTGTGAGGCTCAAACACTCTAAATTAAAATAACAAGCTCCAGGCCCAGGGATAGACATATAATCGCTTAATTGATTAATTTACATGTGGGGGAGGAGTAACATCAAAGCAAGTGGAAGATGGTGGAAGCGATGCTGAAAATTGAGATGCTTTCTGCTGCTGCTGATTCCTCATCATCTCCTCCCTCCTACATCATCAGGTAATGTGGATGCACCATATACTTGTCCTCCTTCAATTCCACCACACAACACACACATCCCAAAATTATATTATTTCCTCATATACATAATTAATCATCATTTGCTCTCAGGAATTAACGGAGTTGAAATGTTGGTATCTTAATTTTGAATCTTCTCAGGAAAGTAACATATCTTACAATTCCAAGCATTAAACTCCTGTTCACCTGCTCCAAGTTTTTTACCTGCCATAACATTCACCATAAATATTGTCAGTTCATCACACAATGTTTCAATTCCAACTTGATATGAAACGAAAAGAATATTTTTCCACTATAAAAGAACTGAGAAGAGAGATTATTTGATTGGTCGACCTTTTTCTTGCAGGTCTCGGTCCGAGTTTTGATCACATGAAGCTGTGGAACAACATATACCGAGGCAAAACATTAGTTATATCTCAGGCAAAGTAACATATGTTATATCAGATTAGGCTCTGTACATAATATGCAGAAGGAAGCCAACCAGATTAGCACCACGATCGTTAGAGATCTGCTAAGCAGGGAAAGCATAAGCTAAGGAAGTATACATATGAAACCTTTTCCAGGGGCAAAAAACACAGAACTTGAAATCAAAGATTGCATGAATCAAACCTTCCTTTCACGTATCATTGCCGAGGAAGAAATTAACTCCTCCTCCAGACTCTGTAGTTGCTGGAAGTTCAGATTGTCCAAATCTGCGCCCAACCTATTCCTTTCAAAACCATAGCTTCACCAGCATGAGCTTGGAAAAGGGGCAAGAGCTAATATGTGAAAATCATTAGTTTCAGTCCTGTAAAACTCCTTTTACCTGATCTCTCCTCTGAGCTTATTGTTAATCTCTTTCAGTTTCCTCAACTTTTCCAGCATTCTCTGTAAACACGTGAATATCCGTAACATCATCAGAGATATTAGAGAAATACTAAAAATTTCCAGGCACCTTAATTGCACAACGAACATACTATATAGCGGTGAAAAAAATCCTTAGAAAATTGGACACACCATAAACATGTGAGAAAGAAACAGATCACTTAACCTCGTAGTGGGAACACCACAAATCAACATTCCCCAACGCCTCCTGGTATTGATCAATCATCCTCTTCGTTCTGCAGGAATTTAATGGAAAAAAAAACTCGGAACATGTTTTATTGTACGGGAAAAAGGAGCGGTAGAAAGCAGAGAGACATACGTAAGGCCAGGGGTGACGTATTCGTGCATCTTGTTGTTTTTAGAGAAGATGATGAGGGAGACCTTAGCATCACAGAGAACACTGAGCTCATGAGCTTTCTTGAAGATGCCATTACGTCGCTTGGAGTAGGTGACCTGCCTGTTGGTGGGGTTCTCGATCAACTTGATCTCAATCTTTCCTCTTCCCATTTTTCACCACAGTACCTATACTGATCTCCACTTACAGGGACTGCACTTGAACCTCACATGGATGGATATAAAAAGGTTTAAAGGCGAACACTTGAGATTAAAAGTAGAACAAGGGGTCGAAGTGGATTTCCAAAAGAGGAAAGCCAGAGCAAAAGCTGGGTTGGAGTATAACTGCACATAAATGTTATATTGGTGAAAGAGCGGAGTGGCTGCATTATTAGACTGGCAACGCCATAATAGCGACTTCCAGCAATCAATACCAGTACAAGATGTGAAATCTCACTCATCCCTTGTCTTTTCCCTCACAACATCAATCTTTTAAAGTCTTTAATCTTAGTTCAGCGCCTTATTACTAATTAATATTGTTGCTCTTAACTGGTATATCATATGAGACAGGCCTCTTCTATTTTGTCGTTATTCATTTCCTCTAGGGCCCCTCTGCTGAGACTTGCTCTGATGCGCTTGTTTCTAAAATCTAACCACAAAGGATGATATTGGCAGCTCGGCCTTTGGCCAAATGGCATTTAAAGTCCGTGACTAGCTCGTTAAAATTAAAATGCAATTTGCTCCATCTTCGTTGCTTACCATAAATTATCCAACTTTATAAATGTACTTGACAAATTATATCATGGATCTGGTTTTGATTTGTTATCTATGCTTTTAAAATATTTGACTCTTCTTCGGTATATCTTTACTCTTCAAACTAATTCTCTGTTAAAATACCATATATGTGTGAAACACTAAATGTCTCTGCCAACTCCTGCCTCTTCAGAGGTAAAATTTCTACATGTTTTTATTCTTCAAAACCATATCTAATAGTTAACAATTATAATTTTCAAAATATACATTGCATGCCCTCATTTAATTTCAAAAAAAAAAAACGGTAAGTAGCTACAATTCCACCTGATTTTTAATCAAGTCCTTATAATTTTGAACGACTGAAGCTGGCAAATCTCCTAAATAACTTACGGAAGTGCTTTGGAGCTGGTCCAAATCATGGAGGCCTAATCTTAGGTTTTGTCCAAAACAACATTAATCAGCATATGCTTCTGAGTGCGTGAGAAAAAGTCCACGCCTGCGTCAACCTGTGAGGGCGGGCTTGGTGGTCCAGTCAGTTGCATCTCTAGCGAGGCAAAGCTTTTATGGATTTATAATACTCCTCCGGTCCTTATTATAAGACCCAATTTGACTTTTTATTTGGTCCTAATTATAAGACCCAATCCATTTTCTCTCTTATATTTATGCATTTTTTTTCAAGATAATCCTTCTAATAATGATAGTTTTAGCCAATATACTTAATTAGCAAGGATATTTTAGGAATAACAACACTTATTTATTATAAATAACCAACTTAACTTACTTCCTTAATCTCCTCAAATAAGTCAATTGGATCTTATAATTAGGACCGGAGGAGTATTATAATAATGCTTCCCTGTATACTGTTCTTGAACCCGAGCCCAGGGAAAAAAAAAAAAATGAAATAAGGAAAGCTACTTACTACACACACAGTCGTTAGCCTCCCTCCCAACTTACCAGTCACCAAAGATACGAAGATTTGTTTTGATTTTCGTATCTGGCACATGATCTATGAAAATCCACATCTGATTCCGTTTGGACACCAGAGGCCACGCTCATGAGTTGTCCCATGGCACACCGCCCTTCCACTCCTAATAAATGAACTAGTTAATTTTTCTGATATATGAACCGCACATGCTTTAATTCGGCAAAATCTGAGGTTATATGCGTGTGCTAAATCCCTTCTTAATGTTTTAAACCTGCTGTCTCGTGGCTAAGTACGTTAGGTGACCATAACTGTCGTGGCCATCCTAACCACATGCCGGTGGCAGCATTAAATGAAGGGACCTTCCAATCAGCCTCAGGAAAACGAGTTAAGAGTATGATATAAGTGATGATGCACTCATGGAACGCCATTAAATTAGAGGGGAAGTAAGTAGGGAAAGAACACACGAGAAAGAATGGAGACTGTGGGTGAAGTAGAAGCGAGCTTGAGAGAGTTGAGGGAGTGCTTCAAGAGTGGACGTACCAGAAGTGTGAAATGGAGGAAAACACAGATCAATGCACTCCTTCAGCTTCTTCGTGACAAAGAAGATGCCATCTTTAAAGCTCTTAATCAAGATCTTGGCAAGCACCCTGTTGAATCCTACCGCGATGAGGTTTCCTTTAGGCTCGTAAGTCCTTGCAGGTTGTAAGAAATTTAAATATCTGAAAACAAATTGTTCTTTTGGTGTAGGTTGGAGTCGTGGTAAAATCAGCCCACAATGCTTTGAGCAACGTTGAGAAATGGATGGCTCCCAAGCAGGTTTGTTTGTTTCATTCATTTCCTGATGAAGATAATTTCGCCTTTGCAAAATCTATAACTGATTCCTGTCTCAGTTTAGCTTAATCGGAAGCCATGACTCTATGATTTCAGTGGATGAAAGTTGTCCTCTCCCTCTTTTCCAATAATGAACACTGCGTCGGTTGCTCAATTAACTAGCCCAAAAGGCATGCGATGAAGTATTTATTGGCTGTTTGCGTTACTCAAATCCTAGAAGCATAAAGTAGATATCAGAATCTGCTGATTAATTGTTAAATATTGAAAAAGTACTATATCACTTCCAACGGTAAAACAGAACACAAACGGTACATGGTAATGTAACAAAGGAATCTAAGCCCGACGATTAGATTAACTGGTTGGGGCTGTTCTAACTTAACTACAGGTCTCGTGTTCGAGACGTGAAAACGCAGCATCTTAGAAGCCAGGGGCGCAAACCTTAATGTTTCCTGTCATACCTCAATCCGGATTAGTCTGGGGTCGTTGATATGCCATAAAAGTGGCTTGCCCCAGGAATTTGGGTGGTCAACAAAAAAAAAAAAAAAAAGAATCTTTTAGACCGGCCCCGATGACATTCACAAGTTTCCTCCGCCATGCTTTATAATCTTCACTTGGCATGATTGCAGACATAGGCTTTGGAAGCAACTTCTGTGGAATTTGACCGAACATTTAAATATCTAGCGCATATAATAAGTAAAATCTACTCACGAGAAAGTGCAAAAAAATCACAGCTAGAAATTTCAGCCATGCAGCATTAGAGCCCAAGTTTAAAACACTGACAATAACTTCAAACACAGATTTGTCTTCACTCAAGAGTTCTCATGAACAAAAATAATTGGGTGAATTTGGTCAACAAAAGTAAGCTCATCAAACTAATCATCGTTAAAAGGTATATCCTACTTAAAAACGTGCATGATATACTGGCGTGTCTATTTATGATTGGCTTAATTTATCCATCCTTGGTAGATTGAATCTGACTGAGAATATTTTATGACAAATAACTACAGTTTCATTTCTACTCTGTTGAATCGAGATGGTGATGATTGCGTTTGTTCTTAGTTATAGTACAGCAGCTTTTCCCAACGTTCATGGTTAAGCTTTGTCTCGGTCATAACTAACAACGCTTTTTGTTTGGGCCTATTGTGGCAGAGCCGCATTCCTTTCCTTTTCTTTCCAGGAAGTGGAGAGGTGCTATCAGAGCCACTTGGTGCGGTTCTCGTATTTTCTGCTTGGAACTTACCTATGGGTGAGTCTGAAAATTCCCTTGTTCATATTTACAGATCAGGCATTGAAGTTATTCACTGATCGACTTTGATGCATTCTTTAGAGATAAAGTTATCGGTCCCCTGCATTTTGATCTCTAAAGCCGATCCATTTGCATGCAGCTCTATCACTGGATCCATTGATTGGAGCAATAGCTGCAGGAAATGTGGTACTCGTAAAACCTTCAGAGCATGCTCCACAATGTTCTTCCTTCCTGGCCAGAACCCTTCCTCAGTACTTGGACTCCAAAGCCATTAAGGTTATCGAAGGCGGATCAGATGTCTGTGAACTACTACTTCAGCAGACATGGGATAAAATATTCTTCACTGGTATAATTTTCTATGACCGTCAACTTGACTTCATCACGTTTTCCTGCATCTGATTGTATATCAACTTTAACTAAGTTAGAGATATATTTTTTTTTTCAGGGAGTCCACGGGTGGCAAGCATTGTCATGTCTGCTGCAGCAAAGAATTTAACTCCTGTCACTCTGGAGCTGGGTGGAAAATGCCCTGCCATACTTGACTCCCTCCCCAACCCTTCAGATTTTCGGGTAGAGCACGCATTAATTCTGAAAATTTTCTTGGTAAAAGTTCATAATCTAATGAAAACTTTGCTTCCGCAAATTTGAGGGCACTGAAGATGGCGGTCAAAAGAATTGTAGGGGGGAAGTGGGGAACATGCAGTGGACAAGCATGTATAGGAATAGACTATGTGCTGGTTGAAGAGAAGTTGGCCGATGTTCTGGTAATCCTAACGGCATCAACAATTGCTGCTAGTTTTGAAGGTTTTTTTTTTTTTTTTTTGTAATTATAAGTTTCTTCTGTTCTTTCAGATAGATTCGATGAAGAAGGCAATCAGGAAATTCTATGGCGACGATCCAATGGAGAAAAAGGTCACTGCCAGGATCGTAAACAAATACCATTTTAAGAGGTTATGCAATCTTCTTGAAGAACCTCAGGTTCTTGCTTCCATTGTTCATGGCGGTTCAGTTGACGAAGAGAATCTGTATTTCCTCTGACCCTAACCATCCATCTCCTTTCCCCAACAAGAAAAGCAAAGGGTCTCATTCATTTCTGAAAACATTTTCAGGTTCATTGAGCCCACAATCTTATTAGATCCTCCACTAGATGCTCGGATAATGACGGAAGAGATCTTTGGTCCACTGCTTCCTATAATCACTGTGAGAATCAACAATAGCAGACCCCTTTCCTGTACTTAGTTGTCGCAAATATTATACTACTTAACTGTTGAGTTGCTGTGTCTACAGATGAACAAGATTCAAGATAGCATAGAATTCATAAACTCAAGGCCAAAACCTCTGGCCCTTTATGCCTTCACCAAGGATGAAACTTTCAAGAGAACTATTCTATCAGAAACGTCGTCAGGAAGTGTCACATTCAATGACGCACTGATCCAGGTACTGCTGCTGGCATCCTTCCTTTTTTTTTTTAAGTTTAATTTTTGTTGGAGTGAAGAATATTAATTCTGTGTATAAATGTGGCATTGTGTTTGCAGTTTATATGTGATGCACTGCCATTTGGAGGGGTTGGGCAAAGCGGAATCGGAAGGTACCATGGGAAGTACTCGTTTGACACCTTCAGCCATGAAAAAGCTGTAATGCACAGAAATCTATGCCTTGAAATAGAGCCGAGGTACCCTCCTTGGAGCAACTTCAAGATGCAGTTTATCAAATTGGCATACAAACTGAACTACTTTGGACTCGTACTTCACATGCTGGGATTGAAAAGAGACACCTAAACCAGAGTCCTGGTCGCATGTGCTTTTCCAATATGTTATTCCAAGTGACCCATCCGACGTGTTACTATCCATTATGATTCCGCCAACGTGGGTGGAGCACTCCCAAACAATGTCCTTTTTAATCTGTCCATTCACCTTATTTATTCCGCGAGTTTGAGACGCAATTGAGAGCATTAATGATATGGATGACGTTTCGAACTGTCCATGAATAGCTGACATGTACCACCCTCTTACTTATTACATGTTATTTGTAGCTCCAAAATTTATTCTTAAGTCACTTATAAGATAATTAATAATTTTTTTTAATTTTATCTCTGTTAACTTAATTAAAAAAAATTAATTACCAAGTAAGACATAACATAAAACACATTTTTTAATACTTTTATTTAATAAGAACAAACGCTATCAAATTAATGTATTTCTTAATTTGCAGATTTAAAGTACAAATGACTTAAAATAAGTAACATAATGATACCGTGAGTTGTTAAACTTCTCATTATTATTCGGAAATAACCTTCCTACTTGTAAGAGAAGACCACAGCTACGCGGGCCAAATGTTTCAGAGACGCTGCAATAACCGTCACAACACGCATTTCATTGTTATCCGATTGTAACAAACAATAACCCTCCGCTTCAGATTCAGAATAATAATGGTTCTTTTTTTTTTTTGGTAACAAACAGTAATGGTTCTTTTTCTCAAAGGATTGTTTTCCAAGAAATATTAACCATCCACTGTCTTCTTGAGAGGGAGGAGAACTACAATTACAAAGCCATTCTTCTCAAGAATTATAGACAAGGAAAAGCAAATCATATCATTGCTTCTGACAGCAATCGTTATTGAGTATGGCTTACATAGAAGACTACTCTTGATCATTGCTGAAAGCTTACGACACGATATCTTTTGAAAAAAAAAAACAAAACAAAAGTGTCGCTAAAATAGGTGATTGGTAGTAAATTCACAAATCTATAAAAACGCGAGTAATGCATCAGACCACATCATTTCTCAAATAAAGGGGCATATAGACCGACTGTATTATCCAAGTACCTTTACCCCGCAATCACAATATTTCGAGTTTGCTTACTCCTTAAAGTTGCTTGAGTCACATTGTTTCCTCTTCCTTTACAATACCAGGTAATTGGGTAAATGACAATTTACATCAGAGTTATTATGCGTTTCATGGCATCCTGCGTTCTCAGAATGCCTTTCTCCCCTGAGGATTTTTCTTTCAAAAGGATAATCCTCTACTCTAATTTTGTTAATAGAGATAACTAGAAATTATACTTTATCATCGTGGAACCACCACCTTGTCTCCTTAGGAGATCTACCATTTCTGCAGTTCTTTACATAGCGGTCATTATCTTCAGGGCGTTGCTGCATGAAAAATCAATAGAGTCAATATGAAACCGTAGGATGAGGCAACATTAATCCAGGTAAAACAAGTAAACAATAACCAATGGTTTGACCCCAAAATGATAATAAGAATAATAACCAACCAGAAGGCTCAAATTAAATTAGTTCAAAGTCAAAACATGCTTAAAATCAGTCAAGGAATAGTGTATGCAGTGTATGCCCAATTTTTATGTGTATGTATAATTTGCTAACTTTAAAATGAAGCAGGCCAATTCACACCTTTACAGTCGAGCTTGAAAGCATTGAGAGAATGCTGATGCAGATAGAGCTAACTGTCATGGCCGGGGACCATGAGTCATACAGTATATCTGCAGAGTTTCATAAAGGGAGAAATTAAACGTCAGCTCACAGTAATGAGGTAGAACTGCCATTCAATCAAACTTTTATTGTGTATAATGCATGTCATGACGTAAAGGGAACTCACTCCCTCAGATTTTGTCAGGTCTGATGGCTTTTCAGCCTTCTGATGTACTTCCATTTATCTCCCCTCTCTCTCTCTCTCACACACACACGCTACCACGGTTTAACCCAACATGTTCGTACTGCATTCTGGCAACATGATTGAGCTCGAGACAAAAGTTAATGATTTATCACTTTCTTCCTTCCCCACACCTCAAACCCCATGAGAGGGAGAGGGAGGGTACTATTTATTATTTGAGAAAGATGCTACACACATATTGTATGCCATCAACAACAAATACTGGCCAGCCGTGTAGAGATGCTTTAATAGATTAAGGAGAAACTCTGCATTCTGAATTCCTTTGCCACCTCTCGTTTGTTAGCCTTCTCATGTTAATGTCATTTTTACTTTGTTGAAGTTTATTAGGAAAAAAAAAAATCCCAAGCAGCAAATCATTAAAGCTAACACATAATCATTGATATAACAAGCTAAAAAAAAAAACAAAAACTGAGAGAATCTGACTCATTAAATATGCAGGAATCTCTAAGTCAAATTTTTATGTCAATCATACAGAAAGTTGGTATCATTTTGAAAGAAGAATTCTGAGAATTCCCCCTTGAAAAGTGAGAAGAGACTAAACAAGAGATGCAGTCATGCAGGGGAAAAAAAAAATTACAAACATTGACATATAATTTTAAAAACAAAGAACAAGATGTGCAGGCATCCAAACACAAATGAAATTTGAAAAAATAAAAAAAATCATTAAAAGCAAGAGTGAGAGACCCAAACTGATTCCTTCTACTTCCCAGGCATGCTGCAGTTTTCATATCTCTTTCTCAGTAACCTTCCAGTTTGGAAATTTGAACTCATAATAATGTTTCACTAGGATTTCGAACATACGACAAAGTATTATCTTCTCTTATTGTCTTTTCTATTTTCTTAATTTTGCCATTTCTTTAGATATACTTCCAGTTGCCTCAGTAAGCTCCTTATCCCAAGAATTACTAGAGCCTAAACTGCCCATTTGATCCCACCCTCTTTACCGTGACTTCTTAGCAATTATTAGAGTTTTACATGCCGTATCTTGGAAGCCAATTCGGAAGCATTCAAAGCATCTGAAAAAATGGACAACAGAAAGCTAGAAGCAAGTCCAGCAAATACCAAAACCCTCCTCCAAACAAAGTTTGTGCAATAACAAAAGATTAGATGTAATAACATTGGCAAAGAACATGTTGCAAAATTAGACACCGAAGAACACATAAATCTATACCCCATACGTACCTAAACAAATGTGCCCATTGCTATAGATGTGGGGATGCAGTGGAGCAGGGTGCAAAAATATGACCTGTTAGACCGTTCATGATTCAGGTCAGAAAAGAGCAGCGTCACCGAACAACAGAATTTAAAGCTAAAAGGGTGAAATTCAGATATTTTACAGCTAAAACACTTCCACGGAAGATGGGATACCTGTGGAGCTTCCATGGGGTAGTGCTCGGGAAAGTCGACCTGAAGTTGGTAGGTTTCATTGGCGTAAAGCGTACCCGGAGCTCCAGTCACTTCAATAACCCACCTTTGAGTAAAAATAGCAGAGACAACGTAACGGAATAATGAGGTGTGTAACAAAAGGATCAAGAAGCCAAATCGAAAGGGACAAGTAAAAACTTTAAAGGCAAACGATTCCGGCCTCGGTGAGCATCGTAAGCAAATAGTTAGTATAAAGCCTCAGTCCACCAATTAGACTCAAAAGCAATAAGTGTCAGTGTGCATGAATTCTAGGGCAGTCAAGAATGGGCGAAAAATCCAGAATTTCTCTATCGATTTTGCAGGACCCAGCGACTGACAGGAAAGAAAACCATAAACGAATCAGGGAATAAGTAAAGTAAATAAGAAGAAATAGGTACCTCTGGAGATTATCCGTGACGGTGTGCTTGAAACCGGTGGGGGGATTGACCTGCCACTCCACAAGTTCCTTCTGAAGCCTGTTGCAGGCAATCTTACTCAGAGCCTGAACATCCAGATCCAAATACGAAGCGAAAAGAAAAGGAGAAATTGATTAGGAAAGTAAAACCATCCAGAGGGCGGGATTGAGATGAAAAAGTTAGGGCTAACCTTGCGAGAGGCAGCGGAAGAGCTGGTCATGATTTTTGCTCGGAAAGACGAGAGAAAAGAGATTTGACAAGGTTAACAACAAATCAATTGACCCATTTATGCCCTCCCGTCCTTTTTCTTCTTGTTGCTTTTATTTTTTGTTTTGAAAAAAAGACCCCGTTTCTCCGTGTTTCTCATCCAAAGTCTTTTAATTCGAAAGAAAAATCAATATATCTATATAAAATATATACGGCATGTATTTGTAGTGTAATTTTTCTCTACATTTTAGAAAGCTGGTTGAAGGATGTTTTGACCTTCAATTATCAGCTTTTTTTTCATGAATTATTAAAACAGTGCAATGTTGACCTTTAACATTAAAATCGGGACAGTATCATCCTTATTATTAGAGAATAAATACATGCGTGATAATAAAATCTCATTTTTCATTACTCACGCGGCTCGCCATATAATTATAACTCGAAGCTATATGGTTATCTAAACGTCCCATTAGTTAAACTACACTTCTCAAAGTTGAGATACCTCATCGTCATCTAGGTTTATTTCATATATTAACATTGCAAATTAATGGCCTGTTTGGAATATCTTATAAATAGTTTATAAGTAACTTTTTATAGGGGTGTTCAAGACCGACCCGTCCCGATCGGCCTGTTCCGGTCCCGGTTTATTGGGACGGGACGGGACAAAAGGGACCGGGACGGGACACGAGACGGGGTCGTCCCGTCCCGGTCCCATCCCGATTCCTTTTTTTTTAATTTTTTATAATATCATTTTTTTCATATTTTTTTAAGATTTGAGACTATTGTATGGAACTATGGATATATTTATTTAGAGTTTTTATATTTGTTAATGATTTGAGATTATTGATGATTAGAATTTTTAGTAAGTTTTTATTGTGTTAAAAGCTTTTGTTTAGAGTTTTTAATGACTATTATATGTAATATTTTGAGCTTTTGTTTAAGAGTGCCCAAACAAATAAAAAAGATGTTTTTATAAGATTTCAGCTCAAAACAATATAATTAAAAAAATCAGATTTTTTTAAAAAATTTTTAAAAAAATTAAAAAAAAAAAAATTCAGGACGTCCCAGTCCCTTCCTGTCCCAACCGGGACCGGGACAACCCCGGGACGGGCTGGGACACGAGACAGAAAATCTGTCCCGTTACTGTTCATCGGGACGGACCTGTTCCGATCCCGATCCGTCCCGTGAACGCCTCTAACTTTTTTAATAGTGATTCACAGAATACGAGACAAATATGTGAGAAAAATTTTGTCTCAACTTATGTGAAACAAATTTGTAGGGGATTTCCACCGCGCTGCCAAACGGGGCCTAAATCTCCAATCATCTAGATTATCAAACCATTTTTGATATTTAGAACTTGATGAGGAAGTATTATTTTGTATGTGAAGTGATAGCTAAATAATTGAAGAGGATGCATAAGCAAACACCAGAAAGCGAGAGCGATGTGTTATATCTTGGAAAGTGAGATCGGATGAAGAAAAAGGGAGTAAGACAGGCTGTCAACTAGAAATCCCCAAGCAACCAAGGAGTGAGTATTTATTATTCGACATAAATCTTCTCATGGCCCCTCTCACCATGCCCATTTGGGATTACAACCCAATCACAGCACACTGTATATATCTCTGCTTTTTAAAATCCTTATCCCGGCTTCCTCAACTTCTGCTTTTCATATTAGCTTTACTTTTTTTTTTTTACTCCTGTCCTAGATGTAAAACCCAGTTGGTGGTATAATTTTGGTCATAAATGTTATACCCATATTATAATATAAATTACGTTAAAAATAAACTAAAATTTAGAACTAGAGGGAGTAACTTTTTCTCTCTTGTTTTTTTTCCCCCAAAAAAACTACATGATGGAAAACCCAGAATGACTCAGATTATGTTAAAAAATTACTCATCCGATCCTAAATATAAAACCTTTATACGTACTAGTATTAGGGTCTTATATTTAGAATCGGAGTAGTATTATTTTTATCTTTTGAAAACGGTTTTAGACGAGACGAAAATGACAATCATAAATCTGCTCTATGCTGCTAACATAATATTCTGGGAATCGTTTCTTTGAATAATATCTTTATTATTAGGGAGTTGACGCGAGTCAAGCATTTCAAAGGAGTGGAGGAATGCTATTCTCTCTTTAATCGCTGGTCGCACTACATGATAGATTCTTTCATCTTCTCCGCAGCGCTGGAACCATTGTTGCTTTACAGTTTTTCTCCTCTTCTATTTTCTGTCTCGTTCCAATTTTATGGAATATCCCCAAACATGTGTGTACATATGCTACTTCCGATCTTAATTATAAAATTTTATTTATAGACCATAAACAAGGTCTTATAATTAGGACCGGAAGTAGTAATATTAAAAATGGTGAGAAAGTGTGCTTCTACTGTTGTTTTGTAGAGAACATAATAAGAAAAGAGTGAAACTACAGAGAAGTATTTGCCAGTGACTGGTTCACCCGGCCCTCTCATTCTTCATCGCGAAGTTATGATCATCACGATTCGTATTACTATTATTAGTGTTTGAATTCAAATAAAGAATTTAAGGTAAGCAGTTGATGGAATATGGGACCAGAAAGAAAAAGAAATGATTAGTGAATTGTGAGTCTTTCATAGTTGGGAACTGGATTCTGCGTCCCTCGTCCCATTGACTCTGTAAATAGAGGTTATTCCAAAAGTAGGACCATGGTAAGGACTTAGGATAGCACTGAAGATAAGCAAGCATATTCCAAGCGTGATTTCCTGCAATCAACATTCAAGAAATCTGATACACCAACATGCTTTTATTTTTAATTGCTTTTGCTTTCTTGGGGTTTTCGTCCTTCTACCCTCTGCGCCCAACCACTTTGCTTGACTTTTGTATGTTGCTGCCTTACTTGAATTTAAGGCACCCTACCCGACTTATTTAATTTGAGCTTATCGTCATTTGAATCATTCTACCTGTGTTCGGGTTTAGTTAGTCAACCCACTTCATTAATTCGATCCCACAACCCCCCCCCCAACCTTTTTTCAACTCATCTTAATAGTTTTAAAACTAAGGTTACATTTAAACACCCACCACAAGAATTAACCCTTTCTTCTTCAGCATGGACTCCAATGTGTTCAATAAACACCTTTGAAAGAAAGAAGCATACATATTTGCTTTGTTGTAATTATTTGATGTAATTAAATATAACTAGTTAAATGATCATTAGGGTTTAGCGTTTGAACTTAATTGTCTGGAATAAAATTTTTAATTGTTAAAGAATTTTGGATTTTTGTTTTTTTAAAAAACAATTATTTAATAAACACGTTTGACTCATCAGATTATCTCTGTCTTGAATCCAATCACAATGTTATTAACAGCTCTACAATCCGTAATGTGAGAATGCCTCAATAAGCATCATATTATATATATATATAAAACTTTCTCCTATTATTGATAAATAAAAAATAAGAATCCCACATTGACCCGTATTATTTCCGCTGGGAAAAATGTCGGAGCAAGGGTGTAACGAAAAATCGGGTTTTGACAACGGGGACCATTTGTGAACATAGCAGAATAATCTATAGTCAATTGCGACCCATCGGTGCCCGTTTTGGTGGGGAGAATTAATACGCGCGCGCACACACAATAACAAAATTTCTGCTCACCAAAGAAATTGTCCGTAATTACGGTCGGTTAATAGGGACAAACAACAGAGAGAGAGAGAGAGAGAGCTTTAAGTTGCTTTCTGACTATTCCAACAATTCAATATAACATAATTTAATATCCAGCCATGCAAAGTACATGAACCTTTTCAATGCAAATTTTAAAAAATATGTAGATATTAAATTTAACCCTAAATATAAAATCATAATTTATTTTATTTTTAATATTTATTTATTTTGTTTTCAAATAATTGTCAAGGAGTTTCCATAAAAATATAATTTCAAAAAAATCTATTTATTATAAATAACCAACTTAACTAATTTTTTTAACACCGTTAAATTAACTATTCATCGTTTATATTAAGAATTAAGAACCAAAGCTAGTATAAAGCAGTAAAGCACGCTAATCACTTGTTTTGGCACCGTAGTATTTGCTAAATTGAAAATTTGTTTTAATAGCCCATACAGTTTGAGAAAACTTTTACAATGCTGTGTCCCACAAAAATATAGAACAAAAATAAAACTTTAGGAGATAAGGCGACAAGGTGCGCTCCTAAGGAAAAGAAAAGTGTCATTCTCACTACATCAAGATAATCTGCCCAGAATATATTATATATGTATGTATACATGTATGTAACGGTGCTACGAGGAAGGGGAAGGTAAAAGAGGGCATAACCACCGTCCACTGTGCAAGTGGCACACCTCAACCAGCTCGTACTTTGATGATAATGGCACTGAAAAGGACAGTCAATTTATTTAAAGCCCACTTCAGTCACGGAGGATGCAGCTTTTTTGTTTTTTGCTTCTTTTTTTCTTTTTTCTTTTCAAGGGTGGGGCGGGGTTCTCATCATCATCATTCAGAAAGACTGAGAAAGTCAACTTACATTCACACAGATAAACAGGAAATACAGGGAGAAGGCCTAGCTAAAGGAGATCATGAATAATAATTGGAGTTTAGCACAAACGCAACAGTTCAGGTTGACCCAAATCCACTTCTGGGGCACATGACGAGCAAGGGAGACGATTCTTGTGTGCAAATGGGTCCGCCAAGCAAACATTTAGCGCACATTCAAGAAGCAGGATGAGTTTCTCAGGCTAGGCTTAGGCTATGAACTGATAGAGGGTGGTAGCACTTTATATGGGTTGAGTATTTTGTTGGGGTCTAGCAGATTCTTGATTGAAGCCATTAATTGCACCTGCCCAATTTGATAGTAGCTTAGATATTCTATACACCAGTCTACATTTTCAAATAGAGAAATATAGAATGAGTCGATAATATACATACAGTTTCAGGTGACTGACTGTAGAAAATCTTATTAGCTTTCATTAATCCAAGGCCATGCTCTGCACTTATACTGCCCTTGTGCTTCGATGTCCACTCATACACATAAGGTTCGACTTGTGATAAAATCTGCAAGTTTTAATACTGATGGTCTGCTATAAAAAGATAACCATCTCAAAACCAAACAACTATCTGGCATTCACTTGATCAACTTACCATATCATCATACTGGGGAGCTGAGATATTTAAGTGCAGATTACCATCTCCCAGGTGACCATATGCTACTACATTAGCTACACTCCCTGCAATTCGAAATCACAAAGAACAAAGTTTTTGGAAGTTTATTCATGCTCTAAGACCGTGTTACTGCCAGTACCTGAGGGTCTATGCAAATGCAATGTCTCCTACATTCTGAATTCCAAACATTATGATGGGGATGTGTAATAGATCATTAAGAAGCCTAGTAACACGAGATTTCTAGGAAATTTCCTCAAAACTTGAGCAGTTAAATAAACTAAGGGGTGTTTGGCTAACCCCAGAAGTGCTTTTCAGAAGCACTTTTCCACAAATTGAGACAAACTTCTCCACATATTTATTTCGTATACTGTAAAAGCACTTCTAAAACCATGGTTTTGTTCTTACCCAAACATCCCCTAAGCAAATAATTGTTGATCCCCTAGTTCAGCAGATTTACTCTCTAACTTGTAGCACAAACTGATTGAAGGCATAAGCCTACGTCTTACCAAGTCTGGTGCGCATTTCCTCAGCAAGATTGTACAACTTTTCAACAGGTATCGATAAGTCATACTTGTAAACAGCTCCTGCTCTCATTAGTGCCTCTGGTATCCCCTGACACCATTAAATCTTGTAAATATAACTAAATTTTATACTAGTATTTAGAAAGATAGACAGCAAGACTTTTCAAGTCATAATGAGATTAGCAGATTGTTTTTGTCTATAGCAAACCACAGAAGGGATATTTCCTTAATCATGAAGAGTATGAAGTACTATTAGACGAATCAGAAAATAAAAAATCATCACCTCACGTAAATGCCAAAATGATGAAGCTTGGTTTATGTCTTGGGCAAGAACGCCATCAGATATCAATTCATTTTCCATAGAGTGAAGTAAAAATGCTTCAAGCTTTTGTCTGGAGATGTTAAAAAGAAACGTGTTACAAATGTGGAGGACTTCGAACATCACTCAGAAGTCACAACTAGAACAAATTAAAAAAAAAATAATAATAAGAACCATAACACTACATACATACATATATTGAAAAACATGTTCAATCATCTTTCAGGGTTCAATACACAGAGTTCCTCGTTTTGATAAATGCATATCACTGTAAACTGAATTCATTGAGGATAAGAAATTTAAATAACCGTCACACTATCAGGTTGTCAAACAGACCCTGCAAATCTTTCCCCCCACCCAATCTCTAGAAAACAAAAGGAGCGTCAAGGACTTTACTTGTCAAAAGATTCATCACTTCCTGTAGTCTCAATCAGAACATAAAAGTTATGCATTGATGCAGGTAATGGATTCCGTGCACCTTCCAAATGATTTAAAACCTGCTAGATCCAGAAAAATCAGCAGCCAAGGAAAAGAACAAGTCAAAAACTCCTATCCATTTTCCTCATCAGATATTGCTTTTGGTAATTCACTAAGTTCACAATGGATTTTACAAGAACAATAAGTTACACGGGTAGGCTCTTAAAGAAATAAAAAATAAAAAAGTTAATAGCTCAATACGCACATTAATATGCCTACACCTTAGTATTCAGCAGATATTCTATATATGCTTTGCCAGTTGAATCTAAAGTCCTTGGGAAAATTAAATTTAGGAGGATTTTGTCGTTAAAAATACACTCAGGTGCCAAAAAGAAAGGTGCAAATGAATTGCTACGTAATGCATGAGTCTTTTAAGTTGTTCATGCATAGAAATCCCACTAAAAGGCAGTAAGTACTAGAACTTTCATTGAATTGTAATTCCATTGACTAGTTGGCTATCAGTTACATGGATAGTTTTCACTATTCTCTCAGACATTCTTCAAGAAATTACTTCTGTTTCCATCATCTCTCTCCACCACTTGTGCTCCTTTTTCACTGTATAGAACCTTACTTCAAGCCATACCCATCTCTCCCACATCCCCCAAATCTCTCTTTCTCTCTCTCACGTACAAAACACAGCACAGAAAACATTCTCAGTATTATCTTTCAATTCTACTCCACAATAGCCTTGTTACACTAGAGGCTTAATTCTGGGATGCCGCTTCAGACATTCACATGCACCCTCATTAAAACTAGCTAGTAATAAGATTTTAGATGTTACATCCATACATGTATACCATTTTCTGAAGTTTTAAACATTTATTGAATTGCCATAGATGGTGAACTCAAGTTCGGCTATTGCAAAGTGGCAACTAAACTGTGCTGTATAGATCAGACACTTAAATGATATTTCTAAGAATTAAGGTAGCATTGAGGTCAAATTAAGCACATGTATCCGTATTCCGTAACAACATGGCTCCAACGCATTGGTAGGGGCCACTTATTCAAAATATCTCGATCACCAGTGACTGTAATATAAAAGAACATGTGACGCAATGTAAGCCAATTATGGAATCCCCACACCCACACCCCCAACATGACAGAAAGTTCGGAAATCAAGGAAAGTTTACCAAATTCATAGATTGGCCATCTAAAAATTCAAATGCAGATAATATCTCCCCAAGTCTCCTCTTTGCTTCCTGTAGCAATTTCTGATAAACAATGTAGAAATAGATGTCATAAGATGAGACTTTTCATTCTTAGAAACAAAAGGGGCAAGTAAATAACAATAAGTGATTATGACTAATTTGGAAGAGAGCAAGTTACATAACAATACAGTGCTTGCCAATGCAGTCTACGATGACTTTTGATTTTTGACAGTTGAATAACTAAAACAAATAAACTACAGCATAATGAGTCATGGTTTATTAAAAGTTCCATAGCCTTTCTCATCAATGATCAACCAATCTTAGAAATCACCAAAACCTCAAGGTAGAAGAAATGTTGGTAGCCAATAAGAGCAGACTCGAGTAAATGCTGAGGCAATGCAAAAAGCCAGCAAATAAATTTAACAATGAGTATTGTAATACAAACCCCCCCCCCCCAAAACACCCTCAAAAATAAAAAACAAAAAGAAAAACTAAGTACCAAAAAAAGATGCCAAGGAGAGATCATTTATCATGCCTGGATGCTGATATAATCTTTACAAGCAAGAAAAGCCACATTGACCGAAGATAATTTTGGTGGTGTAAGTATGGAAACCTTAGTAACAATTCCTAGGGAACCTTCACTTCCTACACCAACAATATGTAGAGTTAATGCAATCAGGCCAATTAGCAGTTTCAAGAGTTGCATTATCCACAAAATTGTGACCGCATACCTATAAATAGATGTTTCAAGTCATAGCCAGTGTTATCTTTGCGTAATGTCTTAAGCATGTCAATTACAGTACCATTTGCTAGGACAGCTTCAAGACCTGTGATGCGGTGAAAAACTTGCTTCATAATAAATTTAGTAGAGCAGAAATTGGACCAACAATGACTCTAAATTTGCAATACATTAAGCAACCACGGCACTTCGACACTCAAACATGTAGATGATTCAGCTTCTCAGCTGAATTTCTAGAAATGACAAAATCAGTACATTCATCTGGCATTATTTTTTGGGTTTAGAGATGCTCCCTTACCAAGTACATTTCCATGAAGGGATCCATAGCGAACAAGGCGCAAACCACCAGCATTAGTTGAGACATTTCCACCAATCTGACAGCTGCCTTTGGCACCTAAGTCTAGCGGCATAATAAATCTGAATGAAGAGTGCAAGCCATTCAAATACCAGTATACATCAAGTTTCTGTATGGTCTAATTTCAACAGGAAAAGAGTGCAGAACCAATCATCTAAAAACTTTCAAAATCTAAGTCATATCATTAGACATGAACTGTCAAAAAAAAAAAAAAGCAGAAACAAAAAAGGGAATGCATCTTGTTAATTATAAATATGATTCTGTCAAGAAAATGAAATGTCAAGTCCGTCCAAAAATGAAACAGCAAATCTCTAGGGCATGTATGCTAAAGCTCATTCTGTATATTTGAAATCTCAAGTCCGTCCAAGCTCACTATTACAAAGAAAATGAAATTTCTTTCTAAGCTGCCATGCTGTGTAATTCTGATTTCTTATGCTGACATCTAGAAATGTCATAAGATATTTCATTACTAATCATAAGCAGCTAATCCTAAATGGAAAAAGAAAATAAAATACTTCTTAACCAACTACAACAATACTTCCTTTTCAATAATACCCAAAAAAAAAATAGACACAAACATGTGGGGAAAAACGGACACCACTCTTCTATATGCTGATAGAAATTGGATGGATATTATGAGAATGAGAGGAGTTCAAATGTTTCTAGACACTGTTCCACAAAGAAAATGAGGAGAAAAAACAACCAAAAACAGATAAACTAAAAGTCTATTGTCATCTAATTTGCCAATATAATAGAACTAGAGGCTCTGATAACATATGGTTTCCTATAATAGAGAGACAATCCAAACCAAAAAAACAAAAAGGAAAGGAAAGGAAGAAGAAATTACCCTTCATTATCCAGGAATGCTATTATATTTTCCAATATGCACCCTGCTTCACACACTAATATACCACTTACCTGAAAAACACATTGGGCAAACAATTGAAAATTAAGTAATATCTGACCACCCTCATGTTTAACATCGACACCATTTCCATCATTACCAAATATTGGACCAAAATCACCATGAAAAAGAGAAAGATTGTAAAATTGTAGAAGAGCAGGCATGGATTCATCAATCAAGTACCCAAAAACAAAAAGCTAAAACCGTTTTAATCTGTTATGATAAAAACATGAAACACCAAATATAGAAAATGGTAGTATCCTTGGCAAACAGTTTGATGAAAATCTGATCAAAACCAAAGAGATAGAGACATACATATAAACATCAAAGGGAAGGAGTTCATAACAAAGATGCATTTAAAGCAGGGAATACCATACCTTATCAAAAGATATGATTTTATTCATTAAACTGAGATTGATAATCACCTGCAGTGTTTCATTACAAGAATGTTGTCAGCGGACAACAGAGAACTTAAAAAGCAAGACAATTAAGTTACGTGTAGTTGATCATTACTTCATCAAAAACAGGCACGCTTCCTCCCACAAGACCAGTATTTCCGCCTTGTGGAACAACAGCCAAGCATCTAGAGTTGCAGTATTGTAGTATCTGAGATACCTGCAAAAGAGATAAGTTGAAAAAGATCAAAAAGAAGCATTCACATGGTTATAAGCTGTTACATTATTCAAACTCTAGAATGAAAGACTAATGAAAACGATATCCGGAACCACAACAGCAACAATTAGTGGCAATGACAAATAGATGTTTTAAAAATCAAAATCAGCAGTTCCTGTATTCATATTTAATACTAGTGATGATGATGAATGAATTTCATCAGCATAACAACAGGTTAAATAAACACAGAAAAAACATGCAACATTACCGATTCCAGAATGTTTCCAGAACCCTGAAGTTCTGAACAAAATTTGCTGCTTAGAAAATATGAGTAGAAGGAATAAAATAAACAGGAACCTCCTCGGTGCTCCGTGGCAGTAGCATAAGTTTACTGGATCCTTTGTATTTGTGCATCCAATCAGTATTGGCAGCAATAAGCCTCTCCTCGTCCTGGATGACATTTTTGTTCCCTAGTACACCCTGGAAATATCTAATATCCTCATCATTTAACGTTGAAAACCGAGAGTTCCTATGAACTAGCCCAGCTGATGAACTATAACAGTGACGCTGAACTCCACCCGGCATTCCGATACAGATTTTTGCTGTTTCTACGTAATCGGAAATAGAGAAAAGCCTCTGCTTTCCGCGAATAATATTGCATTGTAACTCAGCGCTATTTCCACTGGAGAAAACACTGAAACCTGTGCCAAGTAGAAGGAATCCTAATAAGCGCGCATGCCATGCAATAATTGGGTGGTGCCTGGGGGGACGGGGAAAAGGGGAAAATCAGAGACCAAATAGTACCGGAAACTATAGCCGGAGGGATACATCGGCGTTCCAAGAATAATTTGGGTGAGTGTTTGATCAATCGGAAAGTGGCTTTCCAATTCCAGTTGACCATCTTCAAGTTCAGCAGCAGCACAGGGTCTGTCACTCCGGGGTATGGGAAGAAGCTGCAGCGATGAAGTGACCGGGCACGATACAATCGGACGATCGCCCAATGGGTAAGTGTTTACGCAATGCTCAATTGATGCGTCATCGTCGTTATCAACTTATCATTATCAGTGTCATTATGCTTTTGACTCGTCGTCAATATAAAAGCGTTCCCCTTTTTTCCCGGAAAAGGGTATTTTCTTTCCCCGCTCTTTTTGGGTTCGCGGTAATTTTATTCTGGATATGCCGGGAGATACTCTTTTTTTTTTTTTAATAATACTTACATCAAATATTGCAAGGCCCAAGGAAAGTGTAAAATAATTAATTAGTAATGCTGGCAAAAAAATAATTAATTAGTAATGGAAAATAAACAAATGTAGATGTTTAAAAATAAATGAATTGAGATTACAAAAGTGCAAAACTCGATCCCGTAATTTACCAAACGACATACAAACAGGATGAAGTTGTCGTTCACAGTTGAATGGCGAGATGATGAGGCGTCGTTTGCCAAACAAGTCGCGAAGAGAGCTCACACGACGAGAAAAAATTTGCGATGCGGGTTTCAGCTCCAGGTGGACCTTTGGAATCCGCATGCACCCTATCCAACTGCGATGCCCGATGAAGATGGCGGTGGCGCGTCAGTCTGCCTCCCTCTTTCCCAGTTCAATGGCATCGTCTCTGTCGTTGCTTCCCTCCATCATCAACCAACCTCATGGTGTTCTCCGACTAAAGATTCATACCAGACGTTGCTTCAGTCTCAGAATCTTATGCCAGAAACCCCAAGCCTCTTCTTTTTCACGCACATGTCGCAATCAAGCGTCTTGCTCGCTGCCATGCCCTGTGGTGGAAAGGGACTCTACCTTCAAGCTCACCAGAAACTTCTCTCACTCGAACGCTCCTCTTGCTGACAAGGCAGAGGGTCCGAATCTCCGTCACTTCATCGCAAAAGCTGCTCTTACTGCCTCTGAAGCTCAGCCCAAGTGAGTTATTGGAAGCAATCACATTTCTAGCTCTTGCTTTATTAGTTGTTCTAATTTGGTTCATTGTGGTCTTTAAATTGAAATTTGGCTTTCGGGGTAGTCGCGAATAAACCCTTCCTCTCCTTTTCTTTTCTTTTTTTTCCTTTTTTTTTAACTCTATAATTTCACAATGACTTCTATGAAAAAGATATTATGCACTTATCTTGATCAATATATCCCAAATACACTAAAGTGACATCAGTTATTCAATTGTTTGTATTGATCGGTGTTTTTGTTAACTTCACGAGGCTTAGGTGAAAACGTTCGTTAGAAGTCTAGGGGATAAAGTTTAAGATATAACTGAAACAAGGATGCGCTGGGAAGACGCAAATGAAACACTTTCTGCTTTTAATTTTGACATTCATTCCTTCACTGCTTATGTATTTGCTTTCTATGTCCGATAGTCTTGTAGAAGATACTGAAGCTCCTTCAAAAGGCCGTATTTATCACGAGACTTATGGTTGTCAAATGAACGTTAATGACATGGAGATTGTTCTGTCTATTATGAACAATGCTGGATATCGTGAAGTTGTGGGTGTTCCAGAGAATGCAGAGATAATATTCATCAATACTTGTGCCATTAGGGACAATGCAGAACAAAAGGTATGGCAAAGGCTTAATTACTTTTGGTTTCTTAAGCGGCACTGGAAGAGCAATGTTGCTATTGGGAGATCACAGTCCCTGCACCCGCCAAAGGTAGTTGTATTGGGATGTATGGCTGAGAGGTTAAAGGAAAAGATTCTTGATGCGGACAAAATGGTTGATGTGGTCTGTGGACCAGATGCTTATAGAGATTTGCCACGATTGCTGGAAGAGGTAGACTATGGCCAGAAAGGGATCAATACTCTTCTTTCACTAGAAGAGACTTATGCTGATATCAATCCAGTTCGAATATCTAAGAATTCAGTTACTGCTTTTGTCTCAGTGATGAGGGGTTGCAACAACATGTGCTCATTTTGTATTGTACCCTTCACCAGAGGTAGAGAGCGATCACGTCCTGTGGAATCTATAGTGAGGGAGGTGGCAGAGCTTTGGAAAGAGGGCGTGAAGGAAGTAACACTTCTAGGCCAAAATGTGAACAGCTACAATGATGCATCTGGGAACGAAGAACTTGAATCGGGGTCTGATTGGAAATTTAGTGATGGCTTTTCCAGCATGTGTAAAGTCAAAAAGATGGGCTTAAGGTTTTCTGATCTATTAGACCGACTTTCCACAGAATTTCCTGAGATGCGATTCAGATTCACATCCCCACATCCTAAAGATTTTCCAGATGAATTGCTCTATCTCATGCGAGAAAGACATAATATATGCAAATTAATACATTTACCTGCTCAAACAGGAAATAGCAGAGTGCTTGAGAGAATGAGACGAGGATATACTCGTGAGGCTTACTTGGATCTTGTGCAAAAGATACGTAGTATAATTCCAGATGTTGGCTTGAGTAGTGATTTCATTTGCGGTAATATAACAGTTTCTTTTTCCTGTTTTTATTATTTGCGTCACTGTTTTTTAAATCTCGTTCTATTTAATTGGAAAAAAAACTTCTGAAGTTTAATTTTTGAAAGACTGACTTTTGCGTTTATTGTTTCGCTGATTAGTTTTTGGTTTGTTCTCAACTCATGCCGTGAACACTACAGGCACACATATTACACACCTAATTTTCTCAAATGTTTTCTTCCTATTTGACAAAAATGAGTATGCACCACTTTGGATAGAGATGTAGTGCAACATGCTTGCTTTTTTGAAACTGGAAGGTTCTTAAGTTATATTTTAAATATGTGGATATGCTGCCCTGAGATTGCCTGCCAAGACTTCAAGGTCTTTTCTCTTCTGCGCTTTTTTCTCTGTATAAGCAGTTGGCAACTGATTAATGTCTCTATTGCAACAGGTTTTTGCGGAGAAACAGAGGAAGAACATTTGGACACTTTGTCTCTCATCAAGGCAGTTGGCTATGATATGGCATTCATGTTTGCATATAGCATGAGGGAGAAAACCCATGCCCACAGAAATTATGTTGATGATGTTCCTGAGCAAATCAAGCAAAGGAGGCTGGCTGAACTTATCGAGGCATTCCGTGAGAGCACTGGTCAGTGTTTTGATTCACAGATTGGAACTATACAGCTCGTATTAGTTGAGGGACCCAACAAGAGAGCTCCAGATACTGAGCTTATGGGCAAGAGTGACAGGGGACATCGGGTTTTGTTTGTCAATGAGCCAATCTCAGACAGGGAAGATGCTAATACAAAGCGGAATCCCATTATCGGTGACTTTGTTGAAGTCCGTATATCAAGATCTACAAAAGCATCACTCTTTGGTGAAGCACTTGCTATAACAAAATTGAGTTCATTTTACAATAAGAGTGAGTTAGATGTTGCCTGCGGCATGTAGAACCTTGCAATATAGAAGGAAATCAACATAAATTGCTCTTTTGTACAATTCGGTGATGAGGCATACATCGGCCCCCTCTCGGCTGAATTAATTCTCTGTCTCCTCCTCCCGTGGACGAAAGGTGCGTTTGACTATACAAAACCAATCGCTGAGAGTGCTGCAGACAACCCAAGACTTGAAATTACTTAGATTGGCCGTCTTTTTGTGGCAGTGTTGGGAGATTCGTGCACGGAAGAAAGAGGGTTGTTTCTCCCAGCATGGGCTAAATTTTTGATAGGAATCGTTGGGTATTTTGATTCTTGCATCATCATTTATCAAATCATGGTTTCAATGAAATTATCGTTTTTATTGCCGTCCGCTCTCGCCCTCCAAGCTCCAACCTCGCTGCATGACGCATCGAGCAAAGTCAAAACTTAAGAAGTTGGCAGGAAAAATGAATAATCGCTTCCCCTTCCCCCACGCTCTTATATTTTGTTTTTCTTTCTCCCTTGAAATCCGCCATCCCCTTACAAGAAAGTGCACTGTTTTTAATAATTCAAAAATGAGAATACATGGTTTAAAATATTCAACATGTAATAGTTTAAAATGTTCAATACTTTCGAGAGTATAATTTAAAGACGAATGCCTTTAATCCTAACAATAACCGTTTATTGTGTGCACTCGTTCTTATCAGTAGTTCATATCGAATAATCATTTCACGAGATTTTAGAAAACCGAACAGCGTACAAATAAAGAATTGATCATATTAATATAAAGATTGGGATGCATATTAGTGATAATTAGATACGATACGTTTCTCCATACACTTGACACTTGCATACAATCTTAAAAATAATACTCCTCCAGTTCTTAATATATAACCTAATTATTGAGTTAGTTTTAGTTCTAAATATAAGATTCATTTATCATATTTATCAATTTTTCTAAATTACTCCTATGGATATTCTCCCAACCATAATCAAGTAGAAGAATGAAATGGGATATTAAAAAAGATCATTATAGTGTTTTAGAAAAAAATGTATCACTTTTCTTATAATTAACTAACTTATTTAACTTTTTTTAATCTAATCAAATTAGTTAAATGGGTCTTATATTAAAAACCGGAGTAATATTTTTCGTAGTGTACAAGTAGTCAGACTTGTTATGAAATAGAAATAAAAGCTGTCCGCACATCCAGATCACCCTTCCCCCGTAGCAAGGCAATTGAAACTTCTTCCACGAATTACCGACATGGTAAGGGCCAAATCCGTCATGGATCCATACAAGGCCGAGGAGACTCAACCATAACAGCCCTACAAGATTCTTAGGAATTTTGCAACAAAAAGGGCGACAATAAAGCCCATTCCTTTACTGGCGTTGCAAGTGGATGGCTTATGACAAATTTTTCCCTATAAGGGGGGAGTGTTTCAAATAGAGCAAAGAGGAATTCAACGTTTCCATGTTAAAACAAAAGCATTGTAAACAGGTGCATGATCAACCGATTAGCAAACACCATGGAATAACATTGAAGATCAAGAATGTATAGATTGAGAACTAATACAGATCAACCTAAACCAGCATTCCCCGTATGCAGTTAAATTCCAAACTACTCAAGCCGTCGATGCTTGCTTCTCCTCTTCAATTCGTTTCAACTCTGCCAGTCTCTCTGCCCATGCTCTTTCCCTTGCAACAGCTGCCATTTTACGCTCTACTCTTTTAATACTTTTCCTCCGTTTAGCCTCTTGCAGCTGAGCTTTCCTTTTCTTTCTTTCAGCCTGTGAATGCACAAACGCGATCCATTGAGCATAAAATTATCTTGTGGAAAGTTACTCTTAACACGACATCAGACAAATATTTCTGCTTGACGAAGGCGTATAAAGCCAAATTCAAATAGGTCCCACAAATGGTTTTAGAAGTAATCCTATACTGCCTTCTCATTCGAACTTAGAAGAACAATAAATAAATAAATATCCCATGGGTACTTAATAAGTTTTGAGGAAATTACTCCATCCGCTCCAAAAATATCTTGTAACAGTCTCCTCCTGGCATTCTATAGCTACTTATTGGGGTGACAGACCAACCCACTTAAGCAGCTCAGAGCATCTCATGCTGTTCAATGTAAGAATTAACATCAAATTCTTGATACCAATTGAAAGATGCTCAAGTTGGATAGGAAATTCTCCTCCAATGCTAGCTATTGAGATGGGAGAACAAATCCATTTAAGTACACCGTAAAACATTTCATTTTTTTTTAATGTGGAACTTAGCATCCCATACTATTATAATTACCTCCCATGGCAGATTGTGTACATTAAAAGGATGCCCTATTCGGACAACAACACCTCAAGCTTATGATGATAATCATGATCAAACAATGGTCTTTCGAACCTTTAGACACATAAATAGGTAAGCTCTCTCTAGGATCAAATTGGATTTCCTATACTGTTGTTCTTAAAGAATTCACACGCAAATGGCAAATAATTGACCGTTATCAAAAAACGATGGTTCAAGTAATATTTGCACCATCTGCCATGACTCAATAGACTTAGTTCTGCAGTCGGTTTTAAACACAAGGAGATGCTTGTTTAGGTTTTAGAATTGGAGGAATGGACATCTCAAGTGCTTGTTTAAGACAAGGGAAAAATCATTGCCAATCGTTTATGCTTGCAAACTCAATACTCCAAGACCCGACGCCTTCCCAGGATCAGGATATCCAACTATCTTTGATGTTTTAGGGATAGAACCCCCTAACTAGAGCAGAATGAAAAATGAAAAGGTTACATGAACCAAAAAATGCAATATATAAAGATGTTATATTGGCGGATATCAGGGAGACTTCGTGCTTGTTTGGTGCACGGTAAAATGGAATGAGAAGGGGAATTATTGTTGAATAATGATAGAAGGGTATGGTAGATATGAATATCTAGCTAGTTCTGTCATGAAGGCGGGGAAATCATTCCTGTGAAAAATAGCAAAGGGGGCTCAAGATTAGTTTAGAAGGCACACCAATATAAAGGCACGGTGCTGTCTCATTCGTTTTTTCTCCTTCCTTCTTTTCACACTCCCTTCATTAGGTCTGTTCGGAAGAATTGGTTCGCCCGGTACATACTGAACCCAAGCATACGGCCCTGCAACATATAACACTTCACCATTTAGATTGAATACGAAGTACTCGAATGTTAAGTAATAAACTCAGTAAAGCAGTAACTCAGCCACGCAAACATATAAACGTCTGATTTGACAAAAGTCCACCTCAGCTTGTTTTCCTGAGCTAAAACTCACATGCTCATTTTGTTAAACAGAATAAGTTTGAAGTGAAATCGACAGTACAAAAACCCCTCAGAAAGAAAATTCTACAATTCAAAACGTTGCTCGGCTCAGCATTGCTGGACAACCCATGAATTTAGAAACCAATATCAAGTTTTAGCAAGCATAAAAGGAGTATAAGTAGACTTCTAGATAATACAGAAACCTGGAGGCCTCATGCCGGCCCTCTTTCGGCGGGGTTTGAGGGAAGGACGTCTTTTAGGGAAGCGAGTGTCGGTCAAGCTATGTAAATGATTGGAAAGAGGAAGCCATTGAGGTTGTCTGGAAAAAGCTGATCCACCGAGAAAAAGGGATTTCGGAGATGTGAAAGCGGGAGGAAGTGGTGCAGGACCAGTGGTAGGGAGTCGTGAAATTAGGGTTCTTGAGAGAGGTCGAAAAATGTTTCTAAGAGCTCCAAAACCCATAACTCAAGCTATTGCATAGAATGCGATTCTGCTACAAATGTCTGCGCCAATGGAGGAGCCGGCGATCGATATCAGAGCAGCGAGCCAGATGGCGTCGTCCAAAAAATGGGAAGAGCAAGCCAGCAGGGAGTAGTTCCTCTATTTTTTTTTTTTTTGAAAACTCTACTGCTCCTCTGAACCTGAACGGAGATAGTGGGGCTCAGCTCTGGCCCATGAATTAAGTCAACCCAAGAATTTCAACTTGATTTCAGGCCTGCTAAATAATTTATATTACCTCCGGTCCTAATTATAAAAACCAGTTAACTAATTTAAAAAGATTAAAAAAGTAAGTTGAGTTAGTTATTTATCCTAAATAGGTGTTGTCTTTCCTAAAATATCCTTGCTAATCAAGTGTATTGACTAAAACTATCATGGTTAGAAATGTTACTTTGGAAAAAATGTATAAATATGAGAAACAAAGTGGATTGGGGTCTTATATTTAGGACCAAAATAAAAATCAAACAGGATCTTATATTAAGAACTGGAGGTAGTATTTTATATACAAAGAAAAAACATATCAACATTTGTATCAAAAACAACATATCGGGAAGGTTAGATGGGTAACGGGATTCAAATGCAAGCTCAAAAGGGTCACTCATGTGGTAGTGGAATTAATTGGCATCATCCATGATCTTAATCTTTGTGGGGTCAAGGGTTTTAAGAATATTTGTTTTTTTTTTTCTAATTGTATAGAAGCCTTGAATTTAGTTATTGGATGCTGTGACAATTCTCACCCCTTTAGAGACATAGTAGTACTAGATAATAGTAAGATGCTTTTTTAATAGGGATTGACAAGTTTTGATTAGCCACACTTTTGGAAAGAATTTAGGTATTGTTGATTCTCTAGCTAAGTTTTCACATGCCATTAAAGGTAATTTTTATACTCTTAATCAACCTCCACCTCTGATGCAAAAAGAGGAGGAGTTTGATGATGAGATCTAACCTGGCTAGCATCTTTTGTATTGCTTTGTGATGAATCTAGTTTCCATTCAAAAAAAAAAAAAACATGTCAACGTGTTTTGAATCACATTAAAACTTCTTAGAAGGCAATACAATTAGGGCAATAAACTCCATTAGGCCATGGATTAAATCAGCCCCAGAAATTTCAACTTGATCTCAGGCCTACTAAATAATTTATACTGCCTCTGGTCCTAATTATAAAATCTTATTTGTAGATTATAAATAAGTTCTTATAATTAAGACTGGTGGTAGTATTTTATATACAAAGAAAAAACATATCAATATTTGTATTAAAAAATATATATCAACATGTTTTGAATTCACATTATCAATATTTTATCGATGAATTATACTACCTCCGTTTCTTAATATAAGAGCTAATTTGATTTTTAATTTGGTTCTAAATATAAGATTTCAATTTATTTTATCTCTGGTATTTATTCATCTTACCATCAAGCAATCCGTATAGTGGTTCCATATGTTAAAGAGTCACTATCATTTTGTAATTCAAATACATATGGTTAATAAGAATATTTTTAAAAAAATAACATATATTTACTATAAGTAACTAACTTAACTAAATTTTTTAATCTCCTTAAATTAGTCAACTAGGCCTTATATTAAGAACCAAAGATAGTAATAATTATATTCTCATGTATGATTCTATTTTTCTCTAATTAAAAATTCATACGAATATTATACAATTAATTCAAAGATCATATGCTTAACCTATATTTTTTGGATAAAAAAGTTTATAATGAATATAAAACAACTAAATTTGTAAATTTTCACGCAAATTTCCATTCTGAGTCTCTAATCGACAAATTTTTTTCGTACTTTTCATTTATCGATGAAAGATTTCTTTGCCCTAAAGAGTTGGAAAATCAATCATTTTTATTTTACTTTACCCCAAAAACTGCTTTTTGTTGCAAATTTTGAAAGATCACTTTTTTTTTTTGTTGAGAAAGTTGATTATGGTATTTAATTTTACTTCATATTTTTTTAATCATGTGACAACTTTTATTGTTATTTTGAGAACTTTTTTGATCCTTCATTATCATTACGTTGGTGTTGGTCTTTAGTCCCAAACTTCTTCCTCAATCCAAGCAACTTGAAATGAAAAGCCATGCAATTCTTGGATACACAGGCGTAGTTAGTGCAACGTGATTACAGAATCATATGAAACTTGTAAGACGGCAATATGATCAAGGCAACAAACTCAACATCAAGCCTGCTTCTGCATGCTTTGATGCTTGGGAGGGGAGCGTTGCCATGCGCCTATACGAAGCACTCTCTGTTAAGCAAGAAAAAAAAATCAGAACGGACCGGCTGGTTCAATCGGAAAACCGGTGAACCAGTCTATAGTCTAGTCTAGCTTAATTGGTGGACCGGTGATTAATCGAATCGGTAAAAAACTGGTTCAACCGGTGGTAACAGGTATAGAACCGGGTAATCTTGGTTGGCTGGGTTACCCAGTTCTTTTGTTTTTTGCTTCCGCCATTCCCATGTCGAGCTTCATCAAGTAATCCAACAATAGAGGAAATGACACGTCTACCCGCAAGAAGCAGCACTCGTATCTTAACTCTTGTGAGATCAAACTCGATGACGACAACCCACCGAATACATTTATCTGGGGGTCAAATCGGTCCATGAGCAGAGTGAATGAACGAGTTAGACCCACCAACGATGATGGGAATCTTCCTCCTGGAAGTAATGTCAGATAAGACAGAGCCAGCACACAAGCAAAAATCTAAAGGCATGAACTCTCTGTTTGGTGGGTCGACATCGCCGAGGAGATGATGAGGGATGCCTTTGCACTCATCAATGGGGATCTAATTGGTGGTGATGTCGAGGCCTCTGTAAACTTGCGTTTTATCCGAGTTTATATTTATATATAAACTATTTGTGGCTTCTTATTTTTTTTAGTAATTATTATTTATGAATTTTATTTTATTTTATTTTAATATTGTGAATTAAATTATATTATTTTAATATAACTGGTCTGACTAATAACTCTTGACTCACTATCTCGACCGGTTTAATTTTCGGTTCGGTTTTTTATTCCTTGCCATTAAGCATAAGATCCCCCCATTTTTCCTTGGTTTTGCCCGCCCTTGCTCACTTGAGAGCGAGACTGGATGTATATCAGGTTCAAGAGCCTAACCTTTTGCTTTGATGGAAGGAAAGCTAGGGAAAAAAGAATATTAGGATGAAAAACTCCACTTATGAGAAAGAAATAATTCCTTCTTTTTTTTACTCTTTCTTTTTGTCAACAATAATCATATATTTGTATACTAACTCCAATCTTAATATAAAAGTTTCACAAAAAGTTTACTTTGATCTTAAAGGTAAGATATCAATTCACTTTGACTCATAAATTTAAATTTTTTTAAAATATCTTTATTGATTATATACATTACAGGAGGATCTCCGTTAAGAATAGTTGCAATATACATAATTAAAAAAATATTTTACACTTTCACTCAAAAAAAAAAGATACTCTTCTGTTTCTTAATATAAAACCTATTTAACTAACTTGATTATATTAAGGAAGTTAGTTAATTATAAAAAACATGACATATTTTTCCTAAAACACCGTAATCATCTTTCTTAATATCCTCCCTTTCTCGTTTACTTGATTATAGTTAAGGGAGTATCTATAAGGGTAATTTAGGAAAAATTGATAAATATGAGAAATAAGTCTTATATTACCAAAATTAACTTAAGAATTAGGTCATATATTAAGGACTGGAGGAGTATTTTAAAAAAAAACTAATATACATTTGTTACAAATAACTAACTTAACTAATTTTCTTAATCTATTTAAATTAGATAAGTAGCTCTTATATTAAAGATTAGATGTAGTGTAATAGGATGGTAATGAATAGCAGAATGTAGTAATAAACCAAACTACCGAAATATTTGTGGCAGGAAAGTATCATGCATTTCCTGACCTTTTGCCCATAAAATCCTCCTGTTCATAGAAACCTCTGTTGAAGCCAACTCAATCACCAAAGCAAGTCATTCTTTGCTTGGCTGCTTCCATGTCACATCGAACCACAGCTGTGCACCAACTCTGTTCCTTATCCTATTCACGATATCCATCACTGTTCCAAATATTAGCCAACAATAATACAAAATTTACATAAACAAACAGTAGTAATAAACTCCAGAGCAATTTTACATATGAAACAAACAGGAATAGGCTTATTACGCTGTAACTCGCAAAAAAACAACAAACTTACGCTTCATCGTTGGCAGGGGAAAAAGAGTTCATGTGCCACCGGTGAAGATAATAACATTAGATATTCACAGTCAACTCTGAATGCTTATTGACTGCATATGTACGATATGGTTCATGTGGAGAGGATGTGGATACATATAATGTTGAAATTGCTCATTGGCATGCCAAAAAAGGTGCGACAATTAACATAAACTAGCTCTAGTTATATCATACATGTCAGGTATCAAGGGAAATCAAAGAAAAATAATTTCATTTCACTGCCACTTTCTGGCATGGCTTCTAACATTTTTCGGCGGAAACGAAACCTGTATTATATGTGGAAAACTGCAAATTTCAACCTTGCATCTCAAAAGACCGAACTTGAAGAACAAAATGTATTCATCCGGTTTTAGATATGAAGCTTCGGATTTCAGCCAGCAGAGAAACACCAAGGAGAACCCAATACCCCACGTGCGTCTTTTAATTTATCGCGTCTTCTAATACTAATGAACGTGCAACCACATAACCTTTTTTGACAGACTTGCATTCTTGATTGTTCTGCCCGCAATATTGTTCTTGTTCGGAAACATAGGTGATGACGCTCATCAAGATTTTGAATCCTGCTACGCATATCGCGTGGAGAATGCAGTAGACACTAGTCAACATCCGCAGCCAAACTATCCTCATTCCTCAGATTTTCGCGGTCATGGAAAAATATGCCTGCTCGATTAAACAACGAAAGCAAATGAACGAATTCCTCAAGAGACAATTTCGAAGGCCTCTTGTCTTCGAAGCCTCCCGTTTGAAGTACTCCGGCAATCCTCTCCTTCAACAAACTCGTTCCCTCTGAGGAATGGGAATAATGACACTCTGCTTCGTCTCCAGTTTCACTGCTGCAATCACCTTCAATGGAATGGGCAAATTTTTCATTGCTGAGGCCTGTAATGTTCGACAGTCTCAATAACTCCATTATTTTCCTTTTCTGCTTAAATGTCGCCCCCAGTGTCTTGTTCTTTTTATTGAAACAAGTTCTTGTGAAAGCCCTCCACTCACTGATATCCACATCAAGAACTTCAGCTTTTGGACGGATTATAACCACAGAGGAGTCAACTTTTGGGCACGGAAGGAAGTCCCTCTTGCTGACATCCATTATGAACTCCACGTCAGCCACCAATTTAACATTGACGGCCAAGCGGTTAAATTCAGAGTCACCGGGATTAGCCAATAATCTTCGAGCGAACTCTTTCTGAAGCAGAAGAGTGGCGCTCCGAAAGCGGGTATTCCCATACACTAATTTAATCACTAGAGGTGAAGATATTCCATAGGGAATGTTCGCTACCACAAGATCAAATTGCGGAAATTCGGTTCTCAATGCATCCTTGCGTATGACCTGAAAAGCAATGTTCTAGATTAGACGCTTAAGCATCGGAGGCCACGAGCTGGGCATTTCATCAAACACGTAACAGAAATGTAGTTAAACATACCAAGAGCCTGTCACTGAAGCCGCGCTCGGCCACTCGCTGGTCGAGAACCTCCACCATGCGCTCGTCGATTTCGATGGCCACAACTTTCTGGGCGGCCTCTAGAAGCTTCAGAGTGAGATTGCCTGTTCCAGGTCCGATCTCGAGCACTGTGTCAGTGGGCTTTATTGCAGATTTTCGAACAATGGTGTCAAGAATTCGAGGATTGGTGAGAATGTGTTGGCCTCTGCTCTTGTAGAAAAATATATTCCCTTTGTCATCTCTATAGTGTTTCCTTGCCCCGTGACCTTCGTCATCTCTACCCTGTTTACTGTTGGGATAGCAACGATGGCCATGCATCGTATAGAGTTGCCGCAGTAACCGTAACCTCGGATTGCATCCTCGAAAATATCTCAGTGTCCGAAGCATTCTTTGACTGTATGTTACAAAATGTTAATGGCGTCTTGCAATTGGAGGCAGAGAAATGCTGCAGGAGCTCCGACCTCAGAGAAAGAGCCTCGCAAGGGCGGGGGGGAATATGGGAAGGGTCTGTCTGGTGTGGCTAGGCTAAGACAATTGTTCGATGTCGTAGGCCCAAATGGAAAAAAATTTAGAGAAAACTGAACCTTTCATAAAACCCATTTGAGTTTTTTGGGCCTAAAAGTTCCATTTGAGTTTCATTGCTTTGACCCTCGAATGAGCTAAGGTGGTGAGACGTTAGGCTTTCGTACTTGGTAACGTAAGGAATTTTCACAATGCCGCTGAACCAAAAGAAAATGTTTACTAAGATTTGAAGCTAGGATAAATACTCATGTTTAGTGTCTAATAATACCTCAAATAGAATTGTCAGGATAACTATGTGCGGCCAAAAAAAAGAACCAAAAAGAAAGAAAGAAAAATGCTTACAATTATGTAATGAGCAGAAAAACGTTGACTGTCATGATAAACCAGTAAAAATGAAGAAAAAAAATTCGATTAAAATTTTGCTCATAATAAATAATCTAACGAGTTATGCCACGACGGGGACTTTTATCCATGGTCAGTCAAAGAGTGCTGCATCGAGGACGAACCAATATGATTTGATTAGTGTTAAACAGATTTGTCTCTGCGTCCCGGCACATCATTATGCTTTGTGGGTCTCCAGGAGTCTCTGTTTTAGATTGTGCGACTTTACGTTCCGTAGAATGTGCAGAGATAGAGACATGGAGTGGCCAGTATAATTAGGTGCTTTAAGCTTGTCTAAATGCACAAATCATACGAGCCAAATTTGGGTTAACCAAATGCTCATGCTGCGAAGACCTAATAAAGAAACAAATGAACCAGAACAAACAAAGCATGGAGCGAACTAATAATTGATTCGAGCTTAAGGGTACTATCAAATTCATCCCTCTGCTCTCTGCATCAGTTCGAACATTGCTGTACTTTTTGGCGACATTCTGGGTTCGAAAATGATTGCGTCTTGCTTTGGTTTGGGGAGTACTCTACCGAGCATCCCAAACACAGCTTGTCCCATTGTCATTGTTCAGTGACCAACTTTCTGAAAAACATAACATATCATTTTGAGGTGAGCCGTCCCCTCTTTTCCCCGTGATTCCCTCTTATCATTCTCTCTCGCGAAACATAAGAGAGCTACGCAGTAAAGTTAAAAATTTGTATTATTATACCATTATTGGTATTATTGGCACCAAATTTACAAAGAGTCGTGGTAACGGTAAAACCTAAAAGAGTAAAAACTGAAAACCGAAAACCGAAAAGGAAAGAAAGGGCAGTTAAGAATTATGACGGCATAATGGTGTCACCCAGACCTAAACCTAAATAGTGGCAGCACCATGGGAAGAAAACCATCGGTGTGGCGCCAAGTGCAAATTCATACAACGCCCAGGTGAGGCCCACCAGTCCATCAAGGTCCCGCCAGAAACGAGGAGAGTGAATAAAGTAAGAATTCCATTTACTCACTTTAGAAGAATGGTCTAATTATTAAAAGAGAAGCACATGGATCAAGGGGATTAGTTAATTTGTAGATGAGAAAGTTCGCTCCTACCAACCATAAGCATCGAAGAGGGCCAACCTTGGCAGGTCCCAAAGTCACGAAAGTGCGCAAAGCCGAAGAAGATCTGTGGGCTTAAAAAAAAAAAAAACTACACCATTTGTTTAAAATCTTACGAGTGAAGGAATGTCTATGAAAGCGCGTGCAAAGTGCTCGTGAATCTAATTCTCTCCTTTTGAAAACCAAACAGGGAAAAAAAAAAAAAGAGAGAAGAGGGGGAAAAAGAAAGAAGAGAAGATTGGTCATTCAAGTGGTTGATATCATTTTCTTAACGGTCGCTCAAGCCATGTGCTGATGAATCATTCGTAATAAGAAGTCTTACGTACTAGTAAAACCTTTTCGGTTTTACTGCCCCACCAGGTGGCAAAAGAAATATTGGCTTAAGCGGAAGATAGCATGTGGCGTCGTTTGGAGACTTATCCTTCTTCTTGTTATTTTGTTAAATGAATCCATGGGCGCAACATCATGTGGGTTGTGAGCGATAACTAACCGTAGCATGGAGGATTTAATTAGAGGAGTCATCACACTTGTATTCCGTGGTCCTTGACTCGTCACATGATATGGTAGATATGGTTTTGCTTTAATTTTGTGCCTGCAAAGCCACAAGGAAGTGGCTGTGACCGAATGTACGTGATGTGCTCGCGTGCCAGTTCTTGCTTTGCCACGACTCATCCGCCGTTCATAACCACTTGATTTCCAAAAGTGGCTTTTTTTTTTTTTTTTAACTTATGTTTTCGGTCGCAGAATCAGACTATTGATGCGTGGCATTCAATCAATCAACCTCTCCATGCCGTAAAAGAGAATAAAAATGAATCCAACAAGGATCCCCCTCCAGGTGGGCCTTTCCCCGCCAATTGAGGGAGCACGCTACTGACGCGATGCTCATGCGCGTGAGTGGAAGCTTCCTCAATTGTACGAGTACTATTCTATTCTTGAGGCGAGGGCTGAGGAGGCATACGGGATCACGAGCCGGGGGTCGAGTTGGCATGGAACGCCCGCAACGCCTCGTACATAGTATTCCAGGCAAGAAAGAAGCGAAGGCCAACGTCAATGCGTCATCTTGGCAGCGCCGTTTCATTCATGATCATATTCATGAGTCAGACTCAGAACCGAGTGACTCACCGACGTTAACGGTGACAGGATCCCGAGGTCGGACCGTTATCTTCTACTAACTGGAGACAGCATGACGGCGGGGTGACGGCCAAACGGCGTATTTTGGAAGGTTGATAGCTCATTAATGTTAGGGTAAGGGAAGGTGCGGTACGTTTGCGAGGACAGTGGGGCACCGACAGTATTCCCGGTGGGCCCAGCGCAGCAACAACGTTGGCTTCACGTGGAGCATTCCAGCCTCCCCCGGCCAATGAGGCCTTCCCGCAACTTCGTGTGCCTTTCATCATCCTTTCGTGGAAGTTGAGGTGATATCCCCCCATCCCTTTCAAGATTTGCAATTATCATTTACATTTACATAATGCTTCTCAATTTCTCTCATATTTTATTCCCATCAGTCTCGTGATTCTACACTGGGCAATCCCTTCTCCCACATCTGCCTGGTGATTATCACTACAAGTGGGGAGGTTTTCGCCGTGTTATTGCTTGGCCTTCGTTAAATGCACTGTCCATTAACCAGAACGGTAATTAAGTGGATTGAATTATTATCGTTTTTAAAAATAAGAGCACAGTAGCAAAACTAGTTATGGTTTTTTTTCTTTAAAAAAAACCATTAAACCTTGTTAATACTACTTCCAATTCTTAATATAAGAGCTCATTGGAGATTCAATTTAATTCTAAAGATAATACTCTAATTCACTTTATCTCTTATATTTATTTATTTTGTCATCAAGTAATCCATATAATAATTACACATGTTAATGAGTAATATCGAAGAGTAATTCAAATGCAAAGGTATTTTAAGAAAAAAAAACCTATTTATTACAAATAACTCATTTAATTAATTTTTTAATATTTATAAATCAGTGTTATCTAATTTTTATACTACTTTTGGTCTCACTATGAAATATAGTTTGTAGTGTGATTTACACTATAAACTGGATGTTATATACAAATTTTTATAGGAACAAATTACTCATCACACACACAACTTGTCCCCTGAAAGAAAAGGGCCAAAATCTTATATCTGGGATAGGAAGCAGTATCAATAAGCAGAGGTGGTATTATATTATGTCTCCGTGGCTAAGATAACATCTTTATCGGGATGCACGCGTTCTTGTTTCCTCGGCAATTTCATGTATGGCCCATGGTGTGGTAAGCCAATTGAATTAGAAAATAAACAGGAGCATAAAAAACCAAAAAGATATGACAGCCGACTATATATACTAAGGGCAAAAAGACGGATGGGGAATCTCAAAATTCTAAGATGAGAGTTTATGAAAATGAAAGATCCTGGGTAATAAATAGCAACTTCGTTCATTATTTGTCCATTTGTCGTCCGAGAGAGATGAAAGAACAGGAGAAAGAAAATGCTCGGGTCGTACATATAGTGGATGTAAAAGCACTGGCCACCTAAATTCGTGATCATTTAGTGGCTTCAATAATCTCCGCATTCTCTCCCACTTTTTACTTGTATATTATTTACTCATTTATTTATCTTTCTGGTGGACGCTTTTCACTCAGATGTGGCGACAGAATGTTTGCCATGCTGGTTTAGTTTACTATATCTCACAATGGATTTTTTTTCGCGCAATACATGCACTTCTCTGAGAAAAAACTTCAATTCAACTCTCCAAATCCGGAAATCTAGTTGCTAGCTCATCACTTATAAAAAATTGTGTGTGTGTGTGTGTGTTTTTTTTTTTTGAGAATCATACACCTGGTAGCATTTTTGTTAAGAAAAAAATTTAAATCAAATTACTTATGTCCATTATATCAAAATTTTCAATCATACATGGCCATTAATTGTAAGCTAAAATGTGTATTTCTATTTATATACGGAGCAAAGTAGAATGAAGACTGATCACTGTGCATGTAGAACTTTATAGTCATGAGACCAAATAGGACTTGATCTGGATAGTGGATTATTCAGGACTCGATTTTTTTTTAAAAAAAAGGCTTCATATTTAGAATATTTTAACGTAGAGGACGCGTTCTGTATACTTTAGGTAAATTTCAGCAGTAGATGGATTCTCTTGTGCTGTACAGGACAATCCTGTTTTTATGTGGGTTATAAATACATAGCTCAATCTAATCAAGTCAATGGCATTTAGGTACTTAACTATGCCCCACGAGAGCTTAGCTGGTTTCATACGAGCAATGTCGTCCGGATCTAGGACTCAGTACTTCAGTGGGGGCAAAAAAAGGTAAAATAAATAGCAGTTGAGGAGCTCAAATGACTTTCTGAAAAGGAAAAAAAAAAAAAAAAAGGGTTGGGAGACTGAGGAGTGTGATCGAGTGAGAGAAAGAGCGAGACATACGCAAACGCCAGGTAATGGAAAAAGGGAGG